GCAAGAAGCGAGAGACAAAAGCTGTTTCACTCCACGAGTCGGGATAATGGATCCCTGTAAGATGATGCTTTCCAACACTGAAGCTCCTTTCGAGGCAGGCTGCCTTCAGTAAGAGGGCATTTAGGGCTGCAGATGTTGCAGAGGCATGTTCACATACTGCGTATCTTTACGATTAAGTCATCTGCTGATTGTCAAGTCATTCGCTCTATTTCTGTCCAACAAATAATCCAGTAAAGTAAATGTGAATTAAAAGGAAGCTTTCGCTCATAACCCCACCCCCACCCCCCGTTCTCTATGTGCTTCCTTCAGTGAGGAGAATTTTGTTTTTGAACACTGGGAATTAAACGGCAACAATTCGGCCGTGGCACCAATTCTGGCGGAAGAGGAGTTGCTGAAAAGTGTGAAAAGATGAGAAAAATGTTTTTAAAATTTATTTTGACTAAATTATTGGAAATCTATTAAGAAAAACAATAATAATATCCCCAGAACTGACATATTTATGATAATACAATGGGTTTTCTTTTCGTAAACAACGTTGTAGATGTATTTTTTAGGGGGAAGGGTATATCTTCTTCTATCAAAAACCTGTGTGCGTCACAAATGCCAGAGGATTAAAAAGATGTCATTTAAAATTGCTTTTTTTCCATCACAGATGACACTAACCAGCCATGATCCCATCCTGCCACGCGTGAGACAAAGAGGAGAATGTTTATTCACATTTCAAGTTTAATTCCAAAGCAAACAAAAACAAACCTGAGTGCATTATGTTGTGACTCATCCAATCCTCACTTTGCAAAATAGTTCTATTTTCAACAGCAAATCAACTTGTCTTTGTTGACGCAAGTAGTGAATTTCTGGTCAAACATAATACCTTTGGGGATGAAGCATTAAGAAGCATTACTTTTCCACCTCTGTGATAGTAAATAAACATCTACTCCCTCGACCGCGTTCTCTCTCCAGTTTCCATTTAAGCGAATGCTGTGTTTGTGTTGGCGGAGGTCGGCCCTGGCAGAGGGCCGAGGGCCGAGGGGGTCGACCCGCTCCGCTGCACGGGCAGCTCCCTTCTGAAGTGAGAATGAGCAATGCTGCTCGGCCTCTCTGCAGGAGCTCTCAGCACTGCGGGCGGAGGGCGATGGGAGGACGGGGGTGGGGTCTACAGAGAAGATGTTGGAAGGTGGGCGGCGAGGAAAGCGGCAGATTATGAGCCGCACTTCCATGCAGAAACCTTCAGATGGGCCATTTCTGGCACTGGCCTCAAGAAAAAGCCTGTTTATTATCATCGTCTTCAGTGCAAGCCTGTAGGTGCTACACCTAAATAGCATTTTGTCAAATAAATGTTCTGCAAAAGGCGACCTCAGCTGTGGTCCCTTTTAGACGGAACGCGCATCCATGCGCTGCAGGCCGCTGACTAATGCGGCTCATTAGTATCACGCACACGCGTTCACGGCGTGACAACGCTGCGTGCAAAGTGAAGTGGATGAAGTGTCTGTTACTTTCTCAGAATAACAATACAATGGCATTAATGCAGCACCAGCAGCCTCTGAAAACAAAACAAAGCTGTCATGTCACTGGCGTGAAAACGATCAGGAGAGAATTCCTGACAGGCCGAGGAACCTCGGTGCAATGTAGTACTGAATAAGGTGCAAAGAAGAAATAAAATGCATGATTTTTTAAACATTTTAAAAGATGAATGTTGAGCTGGAGAGCGGTTCATTCAAATGATGTCGATGTGGTGAGGTCGGTGCAATTATTTGGTGTGGATTCCATCACAGTTTCCTAGTGCCCAAGGTTACGGCTTCAGATTTGCTCGTCTTGTCCAACCAACAGTCCAAAACCAAAACGCAGTTTCAGTTTAGTCTTAAAAAGGAGAGAGACAAAAGTAGCCCATCCTCACATTCAGGAAGTTACTGAGGAGCGTTTATCAGTTTTACATGGAAATTAATTGAAAAGATGAATTCCTTTTCAAAACAGTTCCTGTCAACCCAAAATTCTTCAGCTCCAGGCTGAAAATGTTCTTGCCAATGCCCATATAAATTAACGATAACATGTCCCATTTCTCCCCAGAAAAAGCGTGTTCGGTGTACTCGCAGTGTACTCCTCTCCTTTCCAACAGATTTTGAATCTCTTCACAGGCTCTAATATAGTTCATGTTCAGAAACAACAAACCGGACTACCAACAAGCTCGGTATCTGTCCACCTCTCTGTCCACATGTCAACCCACATTCCCCTCATCCCCATAACAAAAGGACCCGTGTGTGCATTTCAGGGCACGGTTAGGAAATGGGTCACTTTATGGGTGTGTATGAAGATCAAACATCACAACCCTTCAGACTGAAGGATTCACCGGAGCTTTTAAAACTCCAGGATCAAAACTGCACTTTTTTGTTGTTGCTCTGGACAAGACAACAGATGCGGTTATGAGTCTGCCTTCACATTGTGATCCATTTGAAATGCAGACCGGGTGCCAAAGTGACCTTTACAGCTGGCGGGCTTATGGCCAGACCTGCAGCAGTGTCTGGTGGCTGGCTTGTGTTTCAAACACCTGCACCCGATTTTAGCGCCTACAGCCTCCTCTCTAACCTTGAGGCATGCAGGGCACAGAGCCAGGCGGACCGGACTGCTCCCGGTAGCCCGGTAAAGTAACACATGGTGTTACTTTGTAAAAGGACGCGGCTGCGTGCACGGACAGAATCTGGCACCATCTCAATCGGTTGAACGCTCTGCGTTCCGCGCAGGCAGCGACGAAACGGAGCCGCAGAGGGACCGGCTTGTTGGCAGATCACCATAATCCCCGCATCCATATTTAATAATCTCGTCATGTAGAGCTCCGTGACAGACGCGCTGACTGACCTGTTGCCTGCGGGATGTCGCAGAGCCGCGCTCCGCTTCCGAGGCGGCGCTCTCCGGGGATCCGCTCGCCTCCTCCTCCTCCTCCACCTCCTCCTCCTCCGCCCGTGGCTCATCGGCGCTCTTGGGTCCAGCGGAGGCTCGCTCCTCCAGAGCGGTGTCCACCAGCTCCAGGTGTTTGCACCTGAGCAGCTCCAGCTCCAGCACCCCGGCGAGCGTCGCCTTGAGGCGCTCTCCGATGCGGACACGCTCGGTGCCCGACCACAGCGAGCTCACGCAGCCGCGGCCGCCGGCCATCCTCGTCGCGGGTTCACCGGGGCAGGCGGGACACCGGGCGCGCACCGCTGACCACCGCTCGGTTGCCGCGCAAATGGACGGGAAGGATCCGGGGGGCGCTTATGGGGCAGCCTCGGGTTGAGCACCGCAGCTCCGCACCATAGTAGCCGCGTGAATTAACGCAATACGCCAAAATACAATCGGCATCAGTGACGCGCCACGCAGCCCGCAGCGTTCAGCGTCCGGCGTTCAGCCTGCTGCCTGGCGCGAGATCTCTAGCACGGAACCCACCGGCGCACCGGCTCCCGTCCCGTTTGACACCGCCGGTTCACCGTGTCACCAATACGCCTCCCGGCCCGGTGGAGTCACCATGGCGCTGGACTCCCGTGTACGCGGCGTCCCCACTGAGACAATGCAACAAACTGACGGAGGGAGATAACGTGCTGCATGCGGGGGGAGGAGCCGCTGCACCCGACCTGCACGGCGATTGGACGAGGAAGTTTTTTTTCGAAAAGATCCACGCTTGTTTAACTCGCGCTCCGTGGTCCAGGGTGGCGGATGACGCATATTCGCGTTCCTATAGGGTTCCCGCGAAGGCAGCGGGTTAACGGGGCGACGTCATCAAGCTCTGACGTCATTCTGTACATTTTGTACAAAAACTTTAGAAAAGTAACAGAGACATTGTCAGGGTTAGTAACCACGTCACTCGTTTTCTTTGTTGCGTATGATGGAGTTAACGTGTCTTTTATAAGGCCTATTGGCTGCACAAATTCTATGCCTCTATGACTCTGACGGACGTCAGAATGTATTTTAGATGCATTATGTTGTATGCAAATGGTGAATACTCCGAAATAAAGCTCTGTTTCATCAAATAAAATAAAATAAACCGCAGCCCTGTAATGCCTGGAGCCATCTAAAATGTAATGTAAATTATTATTATTTCTATAACTATAACTACTATTATTGCTGCGGCTGTTGTTATAATAATAACTATTATTATTATTGTTTTTTTAATCGTGTTTTTGCTTAATTCTTATTAAATGTCTACTTTTTACTTCATTTCTGATATTTTGGTGATTACGAACTGGATAGTAATTTTATTTATATTCTTTCCATTGACAAATAGGAAAATGCTTATAAATCCCCAAAAGCACAGATTCTTCAATCTGAACAAACCCATCCGACCATCTGTATTCTGAATTATGACAGGTGCAGTGCACAATAGGTTCTAGTGCCACGTTTCAACCAGCAGAGGGTAATCTTCATCCACAACAGGGTTTTTGTTCCTGGTTTTGTTTCTCCAACGTTTTTAGTATCTGAGTTAAACTATATGTGTTTTTACTTACACCATTATACTCAGGCAGAGTAGACTTAATACATGTACCTTGTATCATTCAACCCCTTTGAAACAAATCAGTTGTGCATCTTGACTCGAAGGGCCACTCAGATCTTTTTACCATCACATGTTTATCACCACATATAGTTTGCAGAGGAGGAAGATGTACTCAGATCCTTTGTTTAAGTAAATTAATCAAACATATATGTTGATTGTGTTTAGTATATTAATATGATCCTGCAGAATAAGTTCTGCTTGGTAAGAAGTGGAATATATTAATGGGGAGTCAATTTATAATGATAGATCAGAAAAAACAAAAGATATTTACATCTTATAAGAGTTTAGAGATTCTTCCCCAGAACCACCTCAAACCGGCCTTCAGCGTTACGATTAATAATGATCTTTTAGAGCGTGACTCTGGCCGGCGTGGCTGTTAGACGGTCAAAGGTCAAAGGTCAGAACAGTCAGATCTCAGTACAAAAGTGGCACCGGGTTCCTCTCGGGGTCCCATTGTGTCCGAATCATTAATATCATGTGGCGTTTGGGCTCCTCACATGTTGCGGGGCCCTCGCTGCGCTCCCGTCTTCGTGTTTTGTACCCGTCGTCTGTGCGACTGTCCCAGGACAGCAGCACCCAATATCACCAGTAGATGTGAGAATGCCCAGTGAGATAACCAGCACACGTGAATCTGCAGCCACGCACACATACTGCCCACCGGGACGGGTGCGAGCCTTTGATTGTGTGTTTGTGTCACATTTCGACTCCTCCCCGCTTGCGTCTTCTATAAAACACCGGCGCTCTGAGCAGCACAGCGGGGTTCACCGACTTCCACCCGAGGGGACTCCACGTCAGCCCGGGCGAAAAACGCCGCACCGCCTCCATCGCCGCCGGTCTCCGTCAAACCGCCCCGACCCACAAACGAACATGGCTCCCTTTGAGAAATCCATGGAGATGATGTCCTTCAAGCAGAGGAAATGTCTCGGTGAGTCGCATTTCGCACTTGTCTTTCAACATCGAAGTCACATTCTTTGTGTCACGCACAAACGCTGCTCTCTGTTTCATCTTTTTTCAGAGACAAGAAAGGATGAAGTGTGCACCATTCGGACCAAATTCCCCAACAAACTGCCCGTGAGTTGGTCTTCACTACAAATCAAGCACTTAATCAAGTGTTACGTGATGACCCCAGCTGACCCCAGGTACGTTTTGGCGCTCAGGTGATTGTTGAACGTTACATCCGTGAAAAGACTCTCCCCCTGATGGACAAAACCAAGTTCCTGGTTCCCTTCGAGCTCACCTTGGGCCAGTTCCTCTGTCTGCTCAGGTAAACTCACAGTGTTTCTCCTGCTCACTCCTAAAGCAACTTGTTTTGATGTTCCAGCCTACTTCTGCTCGATTCAGCCCTCCCTTCTCTCCCCCGAGCTGTCAGATTTGTCATTGTTCTCTGCATGCCTCCCCTCTGCTCGCTCCTCCCGTGTCCCAAAAATAGGGTTGTTTTTCCATCTTTCATCCACCTCCGACTGCTTCTCTATTTCTTTTCAGGAATAAGATTTCATTGGACTCCACCCAGGCTTTGTTCCTCCTGGTGGCGGAGAAGAGCATGTCCTGCATGTCCTCCAGCATGGGGGAGGTTTACTCCCACCACAGCGACACCGACGGCTTCCTCTACATCACCTACGCCTCGCAGGAGATGTTCGGAGCGCCTGGACCGGCAGCACTGAAGCAGATCAAAGCGAAATGACCCGGAGGAGGATCTGAACCAACAAACAACCCAACTGGAGGCAAAGAAAGAGCGTTTTCAGGCCTGCCTCACGAAGCCTTCTGGACTTTCAAACAGGGCAAATCTCTACTGGACCAGACTCGCACTGAGGATTCGTTGCAGACAGATTGATTGCTTGAGTGGCAAGTCGATACAGATGCAAAAGGACAGTTGTGATTGTTGCCCCGTGATGTTTTTTTCAATACCTGCTCTTCAAATAGATCAGACGCATTGAGCTTGAGAGCAAACAAACCTGTCGTAACGTTGCTGTAATGGTGTAAAACTAAAAACAGGGTCAATGTCTTGCTGGCAATCAGACTCCTGCTCAGCACTTATCTCTTCTGTTCTCCTTTCGTTGATTGCCTCTTTCATCCTCGCGTTCCCTAAAAATGTGAAACTGTGCTGCGGATTCTCGAGGCACTCATTGAAAACGTGGATGTCAATTGAATGCTGCTCTTTCTCATTTTCCCAAAAAATAAATCCTTGTCCTTACAATTCACTGACTTTGTGCGATATTTACCTTTTGTTTATAAAAGACATTGTGTCACTCATTTGGGTCATTGGGCGGAACCGGGATGAGCAACACATGTTCTCCAACCGCGGAGACACGGCGGAATCCTTCACGTCCAATTAAAGCGTCAAGAATAGACATTGATTCATAAGGTTCCACCCACGGCTCACACACGCAGGTGCTTCATTCCTCACCTGCCTCCTCGCCACCGTCATGCATAAGCCCTGCCCACTCAGCCATCTGCAGGGGTCAGAGGGCCAAGCGGATTATATTTAGAGGAAAACACTGTGAGTGAGGGGGAGAAAAAACAAAGAAACTTTGGGGAAAAGCCTCTCTCCATAAACACGTGGAAGAAAAGGAGGGCAAAAGAGGGGAAGATAGCGACGTCCTAACGGAGGACCACAGGAAAAAGGAAACTCTGTGAAGGAGAGATACACAGCGGGGGAGTGGGACAGCTACGCAAACAAGCAGGGCCGTACAGTCCTTTCACACCACTGTGGGCATTCAAGCAGCTCGCTGTCAATATATTATCATACCAGAACAAAAAGCCCACCACCCCCCCGAAGCTACTGCAAGCTGTGAATTATCTAATGCTGTCAGCACTTATCGAAACTGACTAGAAGAGTTTACAAAGGGCCGTGGGGGAAGTGACCAAGCGATCATCGGTTTCGCAACCGCCTCCAAGGACACATCTATATATTGTGTTAGAATTGGATCCGATACGAGTTTTTCCAAGAACAATATTTGTAATAGACAAGAGAGCGCCGCTGTCATCACGAGTTCCAGGTTGTGAGTGATATCCCAACGGGGCCGTGTGCAGATTGTCCTCCATGGAAGGCAGAGTGTGTTGATGAAGAGCGCAACGGGAAAATGAAACAATGAGTTTTAGAGGTTTGGTGCTCTTGGTACACTTGTCACATATATTCAGAAATTAACCGGGTGGTGTTTCAACATTGAAAAGTGCAGTTATAGATTCAGTGTGAACATCTTGGGGCCCTTTGAGCTACAAGGTTTCTTCAAATCCACCATTGAGGTTAATCGGATTTACATTTCAGTTTCTTACACGTACATACTATTTGAATTATGCAAACACACCTCAGAGCAGATATATACTGGCTAAAGTTAGGCTGAGTAAGTGAAATGTGAAGAGAAGTTATATGCAGCCGCTTTCTTCTCAATGTGACTCTAACAAAGCTACCGCTTCCTGTCTTTCCGTTTACGATTTGTCCTCATCTGCTCGAGTCCAGACTGCATTTCTAGCTCTCTAAATGGTCTGCATTTGTCTTTAAAATTCTCCAAAGATCACATGCGTCTTTCACCGCCGCTGGTTTCAATATGCCCTCAAAAATATGCACAAGTCACTCAATCTGCAAATGTCTTCATATGTCGAGGCAACGGTGTGAATTACTTTTACGCCTACAGAGAGCAGTATACGAGAACATCTACAGAGAGCAGTATACGAGAACATATTTAAATCTTCCCAGCCGGTTTGTCTTTGAAATGACTTTTAGACACATTAAAGCCAAACAAAGTGTTTTTACAATTGTAATTATAGTCTATTTCAGTGAGACGTTCTTCTGCAAGTCAAACACCTGATGAACTCCGATTAATGCTGTAGCTCACAGGAAGCTTCAATAAAAAGCCACGTTACCACATATCAGATGGTACAGTAATCCTTTTTATTTATCTGGCAAAATAATAAAAGGGAAGCATTTGGAAAGAGTCAAGTGAACAGTCAGGAAATACAAAAATATAGATAAAACAATTATAACAACTATTTTGATTTACTTCCTCTTTCACTCTCCAAATGGGAAAAAAAAGAAAAAAAAAAAAAAAACTTTCTTTGGATCAACATATAACATTATGGACTGAATGCTCAATAGATATCTTTTACACAGGATGCACAAATCTGTGTTCAGCCCCATCATGCGACCTCCATCTAGCTATCAGTTCATGACCCCCCCGCCCCTCCTAACCAACCCCAAATGATTTCTAACATACCTAAATATTATCCCCTAATGCACAAAGATGGTCCTCCCTCCCCACTGAACCCCTCCAGTCTCTCTGCGGTGAAAGCGATCACAGCGATACCTCCCCACGGTGCGTCAAATAGCCTGGAGGCTCACGGCGTGCCCCCCCCACCCCTTCCGCTCTCCTCCCCCCGCTAGTCCTCCGTGGCTAGACCGCGCTTGGACGGGGGCACGAGGTGTCCAGGGAGCGTGGGCGGCAGCTCGTGGCCCTCCAGCTTCACTTTGATCAGGTGGTTGGCCAGGGCGAACTCCTCGTCATCGAGGAGGCCGTCTTTATCCACGTCTGCCAGCTTCCAGATCTTCCCCAGCACAGTGTTGGGCAGCTTGGACTTCAGCATCTCCTTCTTGGCTGCGGCGCCGGACACTTTGCCGTTGATGGGGGAGAGGGTGTAGAAGATCTCGTCATAGGTGGGCTTGTCGCGACCCACCACCCACTCCAGCTCATCGATGCCTTCGCTGGCCCCCACCCCGTAGCCATGACCAAAGGGTCCATTGGTGGTTCCCTCGAAAGCGCCACCCTTGACGGCCTGGCTGGGCATGGAAGCCTCCTCCTGGCGCACCAAGTCCATGAGGCGGGCAATGTCGTTGGCCAGCATGTCCTCCACAGCCTCCAGCAGCTTGGGCTTCAATACAGCAAACTTAGTGAAGTCCTGGCCGTTCAATTGCTCCTAAAAGGGAGAGGTAGAGAGGGGGGGGGAACAGGAATTGGTGATAGAAATAGATCAGTCTTCAAATGGTCACCAATGCATGCAGCATACAAGAAGCAGGATTTCCTGACAAGCAAAGAAAAATAAATCTCATCTCCGTCTTGGTCCTGGAGGAAAGAAGGGCAAAGATGCGAAGAGAGTACAGGCTGGAAGGTCATTCTACTCTTCTGAATAGAGTGCGTTACAAACAAAGTACTTCTTTCATTAAATATGCAATACTGATTAAGCTATCCTCATGAAATGGTCCAAAGGAAGTTTAAAAAAAAAAAAAAAAAAAAAAAAAAAAAAAAGGTACTCTTCATCTGGTGTACATTTTCGTTTAAAAGAACCAACAACACGTGTCAATTTCCGCTCGTTTCATGTGTACAGTCTTCTCAAAATAAACTGCAGCCGTCACAGGGAAACGGTTCGGTTCACTCAGCAGTTCCCAAACGTTCATGCTGAATGTATCTTATCTTTAGCATACCTGCATCTTGGCGAGTTTGGGGAAATCTCCAGGGGAGATCTGGTGCTCCTTTTCAATCCTATGGTAGATCTCCCCCAGGTTGGCTATCAGTTCCTTCTTCTTGGAGTCCTTCCCAAACACAGCCGGCATGTCTCTTTTCAGAGAGCTGATAATATAGGCCTGTACCTAGACACCAAGAAGGAAATAGCACAGACATACATTTCAATATATATGGTGTAGATTTGACACTCAAATTCAAGATCCAAGTTAGACTCTGATGTTACTCTTACGCAGCAGAAAAAAGTTTTTCATTAATTCATGACTTTGATGTTCACGCTTCCCCCGTGAAGAATGACGTATGAACAGAGTCTGATGCAGGAAGTTTTCACAACTAGTCTGGAAGGCAATGACAGTCGTGTGTGCAACTGTGATGACGGAACGTGAAATCTACAGAAAATACAAAACGAAGTGCTGGATATTTCAATGGGTCAAGATGACTAGATTCCATATTAAGGGTAAGTATTTCTCAAAATATTTAGTATTTATTGCGCATCTAAAGTCTTTTTTTTTTAAAGCTTTAAATCAATGCATATAGACTAGTAGCAGAAGTAACAAATACCTCTTCACTTATGTGGTTCATCAAAATAATCTGACATAAGATTGTACTCACTTCTTCCTGAACAAACAAAATTGCGTAAAACAGGACATTTTTTTGGGCAATCCCCCTCATGAGGGTGCTGATGTGAGAATGATACAGAACGAGAGCCAACCTTGAAATCAAGTGTCACTCTCAGCCTGGAACTTTACCATGACATTAGTCTTTAGCTAAAAGCACATACCATCATGGCATTTAGTATTTAGATAGACTTCGTCCCCAAGTCAGTTTGCCAAAGACAACAGGATGCACTACTGCATACGTTCACTTTTTTGCATTATGCATTTGGGGTTATTCTGACGCAATCCTCTGCTTAGCAAAGCATAGGTAACCTGAGTCGATGACGGCTCAGTGATTCAGTATCACATGTATTGTGTAAATGAGCAAGAGGGTCAACAGTACGTTTTCTGGCATATACATTCAAATAATATATATGTTTTTTTAAATCAATCAGGAAGTCAAACTCTGCATACTGACCTTGGCGAGTCGGGCTCGTTTGATGAGGTCATTGAGTTTGCGTAGAGCTGCATTACGTGGCAGCGACTGGATGTCCAAGAACAGGTCCTGCTCCTCTGCCTCAAACAGCTTCCTGTTGTCTGGGACCAACAGGGGCTGAGCCCAGAAGGACCCGATGTACACGCGCACCACCTGGAGCACAGTTTGCACACGTTAACCTCCGTTGACCTCCGCTGTTCACACTGAGCTGCCCACAGGGGAGGATTTGAGTCACATCCACAGCGGTTGGCAAAGCTATACAGAACTGCGAGGTTTACAGTGAAGCAATTTAAAAAATGTGTCGTTCTGCTTCAGATGTTTCATTCTCACTCTCAAAGTCAATGAATCATTCTCAAACATGCTCCAAAGGTTATCTTCTGGATCGGTTTATGAATATGGCCCTGCAGCAAACATTAACGCAACAGTGAGGTAAAAATGATAACAAGCTAGGTCACCTGTCAGTTTTTTTTTTTTTACAATTACAAACTGAGAACATTAGCTGGAAGTATGTTAAAATTGGTCACTTTTCTATTACTGTCATGTGACCTCTATCCAGGTACTAGTCAGATTTGATTGAAAAGCTGTGCGTTTAAAAAAATAAAATCTGTGGATCACAAAAACTCAAATGGAGAAAAGAAACTTTTTTTTTTTACCTCTGGTGTGTTGATGATTTTTCCTAAAGACCACATCAGTGCTCCGTAGACCCTCATCAGCTGCTGGGTGCTGATTTGGTCCGCCTTGTTCAGCACTACGCGCATCTTGTCCTCGTGGTTCTTCAGAGCTCGGATGACCTCGGAGAACTCGTCAGAGATGTCCAGCTTGTGGGCGTCGAACAGGAGGATGATGCGGTCCACGCGCTCCGCAAACCACTCCAGCACTGCGGCAAAGTCGTAACCTGGAGAGAGTAAAAAAATTAAAATAAAAAATACCAGCAGATTAAAGACAGGATGTGCAGCGTTCATTCTCTGGATTTTCTTACTGCGCTCTGAACTGACCAACTAACAGAAAGTCAGAGACTGCATTTTGTATGTATTTAGGCTGGAAACAAATATCAATACGGAATTACTTACTTTAACACATGGGGAGTGAGGTAGTAGCTCGCTGTATTGTGTCAACCACTCGGTTTCTTTGTTCCCTAACATATTCCAATACTTGAATGGAATTCTTTGGGTATTCTGTACTAGACAAAAAACACACATAAATGACCATCGTGGTTTGGAGAAGGAGTTTCTGTAAACAGTCACACCTGACAAAGAGCTCAACGGCTCCAATCGGTAAATAGTTTTTCCATTTAGATTCTATGTAAGTCATGTTGATCCACTAATGTTTAGATAAGAGCCTTCAATGAGGCGGAACATTTTCTCCCTGGTTACCTATTAACTGCCAGGAGAGGCGCATGAAGGTAAAGACAGTTTAAAGTCCATGCGGAAAGTCTTCCGTGTCAATGTATTAGGAATTCCATTATTTATTTTTGGGACAGTCTTTCCAGCAATGCATCTTATAGGAACCCAGCTTGATAGTAATGAAAGCAAAGAGAAATGAAGCAAGAGAGCAAACGGTTGAGAAGAGATAGGAAGTCATTGAATATGCAGCGTCACAGATCATCAAATAGTGCTGCGTCGGAGCAGAGCCACAGAAACCCAATGCGCCATTCACTTCCTCTGGCCGTTTGAGAAACCAGGCTACGAAGTCAAATTACGTCAAACTGGTCTTTTTCATTGAGCTGTACTTTGCCTGGAAGGGGGAGAGAGATTATGATTCCGATTAGAGTCCGTGTGTCATCTGATCAGAGAAGAATGCAGCTGCTCTAAAAGCTCATTTCGGCACTCACACAATCGGTGGATCTGCTGCACACGCATTCCCACATGGCTGGCTCCATGTCCGAGCACATGTATACAAAAGAGATAGCGATAAAGTAGATGGACTAAATGGCTGTGCGATATGCAGAGATAAAAACAGGGGTGGGGAGCTGAGAGAGAGAGAGAGAGAGAGAGAGAGAGAGAGAGAGAGAGAGAGAGAGAGCACCCATGACCACATGGGAAAGCAGAGGGGGATAAAATGGGGGATATTTAAAGTCCAGGATCCCTGTGAGAGTCTGCCGAGGACATTTGCTCATTCTCTCAAGTCTGTTTTTACCACATGGGTCGGGGAATCACACCGAGGGACAGCTGCTCATGCTTACACTACAGGACATTGCATGGACAACTGTCCTTTACCGCGTGCACAGACGTACAGGGATACGCTCACGCCCTTGTGGTAAATCTAGACGGACTCATAATTGTGTGCCAATCATTGACAGAGAGCAGACATGTGGAAAGATCAGGCTGTGGTCTTTTTTTTCTTTTCTTAGATTGAAAAAATGAGTTCAGTCAAGGGACCATAAAGTCCAAAAGTAACGGCCACTTTCCCAGTGTGGAAATTTACAATTAATTGTTATGAATTATTTTTCACAAAGTATCAAACTACTCCTTTAAACAAAAAAAGTACAGGGCTGCGTACTAAAAGTTTCAAACTAGCTTATAACGTGTCAGTGGCCATGTCAAGTCATGAGCAACAGATATCCGACGCCAACGAGTTCTGCAAAATCAGTCTCGTCATATTTTTCTCTGCATTTCGAGGTTCACCGAGGAACAAGCTGAGCTACACCAACATACTGACCTCATCAAAATGGATCCATAATAAAAAGCATTGTGCATCACAGATTCATGGTCTAAATGCGCAGCTGGCTGTACGGACTGCCACACATGCCCGTCACACCTCGGTCGGCCCTGTTTGTACATGACACAGCGAGTACAGTATGCCTGGGAAGTACAGTATTGTATCTGTTTATATAGAAACAGTTAACATGATAACGAGAGAGAGGCCTCGGTTCTGTCCACCACAGTAAACTATGCATGTACGGAAACAAAACTGAGGAATGAGGTATCAGATTTGGTTTGCTCCACCTCTTTTTGGACAGAGTCACCTCTACATGAGTTCCTTTTCAGTCATACTCTTTTCCCTTGGCACAAATGTGTGGTTGTATGTTTACAGTCACCTGTTTGGCCTCTACATTGTGTTGTCAACAATCCGTATTCTTTCCGTCTCCTTAATCTGCTTCTCATCATCGCTGCAACGACCTTTGTTCATTAAATAGTAAATCAGACTAAACTTTTCTTTATTAATTGCGATCTTTTTTGTCTATTAAAATCAAATGTCCTAAAAAGAAGCAATGTCTTTAACTTTTTTCTTGCCTCGGTCCAAAAACTAAGAAAGAGTAATAATTCTGTTGAAATTGCTTTCACTGATTTCAAAATAGTTGCCAATTCATTTTGTGTGGATTTACTGTGAATTGCTCTTCACGTCTCAATATCCCCGTTCCCCCTTTACTTCTTGCTGTGTCTCAAGGGAAATACAACTCAATAATGAAAAGCAGATTTACGGACTGTATGAGCTCTCTGAGGCGGAGAAGGGTGGGGGCGGGGGGTGGGGGTCAGTCTTGGGAAACTCTTTGCTATGTTTGCCATTTGACTCCACATCCTTTCCCTCAATTTCACAAAAACTTGTGTGCTTCCTCTTAAAGGGGCTCCGATCAGGTAGAAAAAGCAGAAGCTGTGTTTGGCTGTACAGTTATCTTCTGCCTGGGTTCTCAGTTTTGTAGGATCATCAAAAGTAAAAATGAAAACTGCGTACGCAGCAATTCTGAAGACACCCTGAAGGTCAGAGTTGTTGTAGCACATGGACGAAACAATTAATTGATGCATTTCCACAGAGTACAGGGAAACGACTCGGATTCAAGTGATAAAATGACAACCCCAGACATGTAGAGGGCACACAGCCATAAGAGGAAACGTTTTGGGCTATTCACGCTTGTTCTACTTTTTTTCAAATAAAGCTGGCTACAGGCCGATATGAAGACAGAAAGGGATGTGAAAGAGGAGGGTGCCTCTGCAAAGCTGCAGGTAGAGACAGGAAATGAACTTCTAAGTGCGGCGTGCCCTCTCTTTATATGACCTCTGTGTGAGCAGACTGTTGAGTTAAAAGAAAAGGTTTGACTGGTCTAAAAGCTTGACTGCTGCAGTTGACTTGGCAGAGAAGTGAGAAATGCCAGAGCAAATCTCAGAGAACGGAAGAGTATATTAGGATCTTAAAAGCGTTTTCATTAGAATGTTTCACTTCCTGTGGGTTCATTTTGCACGCATGTCATTGCCTCGTTTCCGAGGAGAGAGAAGATGTTAAACACAGACGGTACCAGTGAGTAAACGGGTGAGTGTGAGTAAAGCGTGAGTGTGTACATCAGGCAGACCTCTGCTTATCCTCTGTTTCTCCCCAGACAGAATTCCAGGAGTGTCGATGATACTGATGCTCTCCAGGACGGGGTTTGGCATCTGGGCACACATGAACCTGCCGAGAAGACACAGTGAGGGGGGGGGGGGAAAGAGGGGTGTGGGAGAGATGAAACAAAAACAAAAAAGTGTTAAGTGAGTGTTTATACACAAGCTTGGCATTTAACAGACATTATTATGGAGCGCTTCAGTCACAGCCGTCTTGCGCTCTGGAACAATTGTTATTGGCAATTTGTGAAAAAAATAAAAACGTATTCATTAATTATCAAAATAATACTAATTTGATAATTGTATTGGTTGATTAATAGTTTCAGCTCTTTTCCTGTATAGAGATTGTTAGACTACATGATTCATACTTTGCAATGGTGGGGGCGTTGCTTGTAGGAGGTAAACCCCAGATGAAGGAATGTTAGGGAAACACTGGCACAATACATTAAAAAGGTCATGAGTAATGATTCCCAACGCAACACAACTCACTACACAATGGTCTCCTTTAGGCTGGGACACCGGGGTTTAAACTTTAAAAAGGGGGGTGTTGCTCTACAACAGCTATTGAGCAAACACGCACACACACACACACACACACACACACGCACAAAAAAAAAAAAAAAGGTCGGGAGTACTACTTCTCGCTCCGCTGCCATTTCACTCGATCTGACCCGATACTCACAACATGAGCTCAGAGGCACAGGGTCATAAGACCGGGAGAGCCATGCCTTCACATTCCTGGTGCAGCCACACATGCACGCACGCAGGAAAAAGGAAAATCCAAGGACAATGATCAAGTCAAAGGAAGGCTTCTCGCGTAGGGATCCTATGCAAGCGATTGCAGCACAATAGCAGTGACTGCCAGAGAAAACAAACATGCAGGTTTTTCCATAGCCTCCCACAGCTGATGGTGCATGATATCCAGTTGGAGCTTTGGCGTTTCCATTTAACTACTCATCCCAACATTTTCCATGCAGAGCTAGAAGGAGAAAAATGTGCTCAAACTGGAATTCTCGGAAACAGAGGGCCGCACCAACCGCCGGGGGCCCGGAGGGCCTCGAACCAGCTGAGATCCTAATCACTGCTCAACTATGTATCACAAAAGTGAGAAACCCATCTTCTCTGCGAGGCTGCAGCCCCAGTATGAAGGCCTGGGTCACAGTGCTCATGTGACTGGGGGGGTCTGGCTCCAGCTTATGAAAGAGGGTCTTCCTCGCTTGCCCCACCTCCTGACCAATGACCTTCAGTCACATCGCAAACCTCAACTTCCTGCAGAGAAGAGGAAACAGGGCGGCTGCCGCTTGCACTTGGGATGTGGACAGGGAGAGTTTAGATTTTCCATTCAGGCTTCCTCTAAAATTCTCTTTTGTATGTGTGAGCATATAATACATTATAAACATATCTATATCTAAACGTGGGGCCTCGTGTATATTTGTTATGCGCTCTAAAAGAATGTGCACCTGTGAACCGCGATTCCACTAGTGCCGAGTCAGTGTGCTGGAATAAAAGGCCGTGTGCAGGACAGGTCATTGTCGGCCACGGTGGGCCGCTGCGGAACTTTAAACTGTGCTGACTAGGTTCTACTGAATAATAGCTTACGGAAAGAACAAACGCACTGAGGCCTACTGACTGCGCCACAGTGTAAACTAAAAACAGCCTAAAGCTAAAGAAGAATATTCAGGTTTATCTGGAGTTCATTTAGGATTTAGTAGAAATCACAGCACATAGCTAGACAGCTAGAAACAGAAATAATGGAAAAGTAGGCCATCGGGTAGGACACACCAGCCACCATTGTGTGAATCCGGTTACTGATTTCTGTTTACTCTCTTCATAAAGAGCTGTGTATCAAGGGGAAGGTCGTACCAAAGGCTGGTAGTTAAAGGCTAATCGGCAGGTTTAATGACTATGATTAAAAAGCTACGCCGCTAACATCCACCCCGCTGAGCGAGGTCGACAGTGCTCCTCCGACATGGCGTTTTCACCTTAACTCTGTTAATTAACACTGTGATATCTATCCACATTTATGAATAAAACCAAATCAGTCAACCAAACGGCTGATTGAAGGCTACTCTTTTACTTTTGGCTCCCTCAAAAAGAAAGTGGAAACCTGGAAGCGTCCGAGTCCAAAACAGCCAACAGTCCAAATATTTGCCTGGAACGGCTTCTTGACAGACTTTTTCTAGACTGCAAGTCGGCTCTGGGATCGGTGCCTTCACAAAAGGATTTTTATTAATGTTTTAGGGCCGACACGTACTCACATACTTGCTGTGTTGTTGTACAAACATTGTGTTATGTACGACCATGTGAGCTTATCCTCCCAAACTAAAAGATGGCCACTCCGGCCTAAACTCGCATGGGAGACCATTCCTATGATATCGCAGGAGTCCGTCCAACAGTCGACAAGAGGTGCTATAGCCTTTGTTTATGCACAATCTTATCTGGTTTCCTTTGGAGTCTGTAATAAACTCTAAAAAGGGGTGAATCGTGTTCCCCGAGGTCCAACACCAAATGTTATCTATGCATGACTTCCCTTTTCCAAGTTGATGTTTAGTAGAAATTTGCTCTGATGCACGATAAAACAAACATTACACACAATCGACGGAAGGGATCCGCAACCTCTGCCAGCAACGTGTGAACATGTGTGTGAATGACCGAGCGTTGCCACAGAGCGTGCATGTGGGTAGAAGAGCAGAAAGACGTTATATAAAAAGGCAAGTTCATGTTCTATGTACCCGCACAATAGACGATAGGACACGGGCTTAACTGTGGAAGCGTCAACTTGAGTGTTTCTTTTGTTCAACGGTTTTGTTGGTCATTCCTGTGCAGGGTGACACCACCACACTGACCGCAGAGAGAAGGGATATACCCACAGCCTCTACAGGAAGTGACACCATCAGCAATTGGGTGTCAGCCATCAGATGTCATCACACAAAGATCGCCACCATGGCTTGGATTAAGACGTTTCCCGTAAACACACTCTCTCTGACGCAGAGTCCGGTTTGTGCGGTCTCACCTTGCACTCTGGGTACACTCCATATTATTTGTTCGTTTCACTTTCTCTTCTGCTTTTATTTGGCTGTTTTCCATTATTTCCACATTAAATGAGTACAAGACAACATGGCAGAGATAGTGAAAGTAAAGTGTGCAACACTTCATGCAAGTCACCGGAGTTTAGCCATGAGGATTAATATACATCAGACTTTGACGTCAGGCTGATTACGGGGCCCAATTAGTTTATAAAACTTTGGGAAGCGTGTTCCCGTGTGTTCCGAGTGTAACGCCTGCTGACTCAATAGAACAACGGCGAAAAAGGTAGAAAGTCAAACCCAAACTCCTTTGTGATTAGATCTCAACATCCACACACGTAATTAAGGGACTTGGCTTGTCTGCTTCCACTGATGAGCTTATATGACCAAAGGGTACAAAAATTATAGCGCCTACGTCCGAGGGCAGGACAAGGTCATCCAAGGCAAGGTACAACATGCAGTTTGATCGAAAGCGAATGGACTTCTTTGTCGATGGGATCAGGTGTGGGAAAGCACCTTACTGTCATTTGTTTTGTCATACACAGAGAGTGGCTCTTCAACTTAACTAATGACCGTAAACACCCACATTATCGCAGGACGATGGATGACTTGAAACCTCTCATACAAAACCACAATTGGCACCAAGTCTGCTGGGAACATTGTGCAACAAAAAAAACAAAACAGTTGGGTACATGTAGGGACACGTATGGAGGCCATTTCAATCAATGGGTGGATAGTAGTCATTCACTCACAGCTGTATTTGACACTAACAGACGTACTCATTTTAACCACACATTAACAAATAACTCCTGGGGCCCCGACTGCTCAGATTGCTGCAATCCCAGTGAAATTACATTGGCTCACGTTGCTCGGTGTGAGCTCTCTGTGGAGTTACCTGTTCAGAAACGCGTTGCCGAAGGCGTTGAGTTTGCGGAACGGCTTCTTGGGGTCGACCACCAGAGCGTTGCCGGGGATCACCCCGTCCTGGTCGCCGTGCATCACGGCGATGAAAGAGTCCGTGGTCGGCTCGGGGCCAATCCGCATGCCGGGGAAGTCCTGTTCAATGAGGTGGCGGATGAAGGTGGTCTTGCCGGTGGAGTACTGGCCCACCAGGAGGACCATGGGTTTGTTGTCGAAGTCGGCATCTTCGAGCGCCGGGGAGTGGAAGTCGTGGAATCGGTACGTGTCCTCCAGGGGGAACAGTTTGGTCCGGTAGAGCCGCCGCAGCCCCTCCGACACGTTCTGGAACAGCTCGGGGTCCTTCTTCAGGTTTTTTCTGAACATGGTTGCGGGTTTCTGCCCTCGGTCGACACAGCCGTGCCCGTCTCCCGCTGGATGATTGACTGTTACCTGGTGTCGCGGTGTGGAGCTCTCTCACCGCCAACGTAGTAGCTGCCTGCCGGAATGAAGCAAACGTTGGGCGAGGTTTTACAAGTTGGTTTTTTTTTTGTCCCCACCCTCCTCTTTGCTAGCTAGCCACACACTGCGAAGTCAGTAATTCGGGGAGGACCCTATTTCGACTGACGTTGACTAACGTGAGACAAGGGAAACGACACTCTATTATAAATACGTACCTCTCAAAGGAACACAGGTTTTGTCCAGTTTTACAGGAACCTCGAGAACTCCTCTTAGCGGTTAGGCTAACTCGCTTAGCTACCGGCCCCGGCTGTCAGTTAAAGAACCGTTGCGAAGAAGGCACGTACACACCGGAAACACCACCCTTTTCACAATAAAAGCGTCAGTGATGACGTCAGTCCGGGGTCCAATAGTGTAGTTTATACATCCACAGTACAGCCAGCTCCACAGGCTTTATTGGCAATATCTCTCACATCAAAAGGATCACAATGATACAGTTTTGGAGTTTTTGCTTTTTTTCCCACTCTGATGTTATTATGTTGTTATTTATAATGTTATTATTTTATATATTTTTATAATAATAACCAATATTGTTGTTATTATTATAATGAATAATTTCAATATTATCTATTCATATAGCACAGTTGTTGCATACAATACAGCACACATTCTCTCACATTCTCACATTCCACAATTGTTTTAGTATGACAGTGTTTCACATGGTAATAGTTTTATCTGATATATCATGTTATATGTTTTAAATTAAATCATTCATCATCCATATAATTGAAACTTTCCAACAATACATTGAACAATAAATGTCTATTTAATATTAATAAGTGACCTATATATTTATTGGGTTATCATATCAAATGTGACACTGGGATGTACTCCCTAAATTTGTTTCTCAAACTGGGAAATGTACATTTTCATATATTTTCAGTTTTATCGTACTTTTTATTTTTTTGTCCAAACCATACTGTTATTCAGACTTCAAACCGTTCCCTTGGTTCCGAGTATCAGTGGAATAACACTCTTTAATTGACCTGTCATTCAAATCAACCAAACATTCCGCTCATCATTTCATTCTTAATACTGAAACTGAAAATATCATTCAGCTCCTATTTCAATGCTATTGTTAACAACACATTATTTTTAAATTGTTAGGTTTACATGCGATATACTGTGTTCACATAAAGAAAGCCATTACCATGTTTTTAAATGTAATATTACAATATTTTTTTTCCTTATACTGTATTAAAGATGATTTACTTTGGTGTTTGTTTGAAAGCATTTTGTTCTTCACTTGGTGAAGTCAAACAGACAACATTTAATGTCAATGTCATCTATTTGTTTTTCTCTGTACAAAGCACAATGAAGAAAAGAAAGACAGTCAAACAATAGGGGATCCATTTTTTATTGCGAAGAGCAAGCTGCATAGTAAAAAAAGTACAAAACAACAAAGTACAAAAACGACAAAAAACATCAGAATAAGTAATGTGTAAAACTATTTATGTTTCAATTTGCTGGGTGAACATTACAGACATTTCCGATGAGGAAAGGTGTCCCACCACAGATAACAGCAGCTCCACTGGAAGCAAGAATTATTCCATATGGAGATGCTGTTACAGCTGGTGAGACCCACAGAAAAAGCACAGCTGGCAGTGCTGAGCATGAGAATGTGGTGGTGGAAATAGATGGAGGTTAGGTGGGATTCCTTGCTCCTGCAGCACTGGATTTGTGTGTGTATGTTTTATATATAAGTGGTGTTGTATCCTAAAGATGATAACGCTGTGTCAAATATAATATTTTCCCAATCCTACACATTTGAACTTTATGCCACCGGTGTCATAAAAGTCATAAAAGTCACTTATGGAATAATGCTGCCCTCTTCTGGTTGGACTTTGTGAACATTTTATTGCATTTTTTATGAGCCCTCATGTGGTAACACACACACACACATCTAATACAAGTTTGGTAACGTATAATCCACCAAAGGTTTTTACTACTGAACGTTAGCCTTATGATACCAATAAAATTAGGATCATTCACTAAATGAAAGTGGGATTGGAGTCAGGAAGGAGGGAGAATTAATCTTTTACACATTGATATGGCTTGAACTCAAGCAGTAAACATGATTGTGTATCATCTCCTTTGTAAACTGTATCTCCTATAGGTTACCAGTATCTATCTTAACTTATCCTGACTGAGCATTGACCCTTAACCCTCTCTTTCAGTAAAAAACAGGGCCATAAAAGCAATTTTATGAGAAGACAAAAGAGACCTTGATCCCTGTTGTCTCCTTTGACTTTGACCGTGTTGTCAGCTATATATATATATATATATATATATATATATATATATATATATATATATATATATATATATATATATATATATATAAATTGTACTATATGATTCCACTGTGAAGGTGTTATTTGTGCATTAAAGAAATCATTGTTGTGAATCTCAGCACTGATGCGGTCAGAATTGTGAAATCGACATTTCAAACCTACATGGCTTTTGCAGGGCGCGATTGATTCGACACTAAAGACCCTTTCGAGTTTTAAGTTTGGTAAACTTATCGACAGAGATAACTTTCTATCCTGCGCAGACTCAAAGTTTCCATTGTGAACAGTTATTATGGTTAATAAACAGATATGATAAATATACCTACTCTGTTATAGAAGTGGAATATAAAACATAACAAAGATTTTATGAATAAACGCATATGTTGCCCGGAACCGATTATTCCATAAGAAAGCATTTTGAGTATAATTGCGTTTTCCTGTTTACATAATTATGGTTGAATTCTTTATTGCCATTTCACTCAATGAGACAGCAAGAGTGCTAAATGGATCTGTAAACAACATTGTATTGATTGTGGGAAATTAATACACTGATTGCTCAAGTTGTTTCAAGGGTGGATGCACAGTTGATACCCAATTAATACAAAATGACATCATAGTATATATATATATATATATATATATATATATATATATATACATGATGGGCACATGATGGGACATATATATATGTCCCATCATGTGCCCCTCACCAAGACTGACATCCTAGATTACATTTTTTTAGTTATATAGACTAGATTTAAATATCCATAAAATAAGTTCATACTCACCAAGTCACAGCTGCAAAGGAGTCTTATTTCAGTCATTCATTCTGAGGGAAGAGTTAGGAAGGTGGGAATAAAATAAAGAGAAAGGAAAAGTAAACAGATAAATGGAGAGAAAACAGTTAGTGAGCTTTTGAAATAATGAGAGAAGACAGAAAGTATCAAGGAGGCAACGCAGACGTGCCTGAGAAATGGCAGACTGGTCAATGCGGGCTGCTTAAGACTGTGTGGGGGAGAGAGAAAATTAATCATTACATTGACTGTAAATATGTAACAGAACCAACCTTCCCATAAAAGTCAGCAAATTGCGTTCTGTTTGAACGCCCACGGACACAAGAGGATGGGACGAAAGCGCACAAGAGGAAGAGCAGCCAATAAGAGGCACCATCGGGGCCTTGAGCACTTCTAATGGGCGTCCTCTCCCAAAGGCCACTTCATTCACTGCTGACACATTATTCAAAAACTACATAGAGATCTAGTCTACCTCATGAAGCCGTAACTATAATGAATTTAATTTCTGGCAAGATCAGTCAGAATTGTTGAATAACGCATGTAGAGATGTCAAGATAGTACTTCCTCTTCTCTTCTAAACTAAGTTGTCTGTTACAACTTTTATATTGATGAATTTGAAAGATAATTAATACACAGGAAAGAAATATACTATCTCGACCCATTCTCATCGCCTACTTATGTATTACCTATAAGCAAGAAAGAATGTTGAGCTCCTCTGTGAGCAGCTTTTGAGAAAGAAACTGAAAGAGTTTCCCAGTTTGTTCTTAGTAAGTAAGTAAGGTGGCTGCAATGGTTCATTTAGAAACATTAACAGGCTAAATTCATTTTCATAGCCAATGTAATTGTACTTTTCCAGATTGTCGTTATGTCATGGTGCTTACGCTTTAACTCTATGTTTCCGATTATACTTTATATCGTATAACGTTTTCGTAGTTTGGGCTACCAAACAATAGCACATACAGCAATGATGACTTGACAATTAATTATTTGCGGCATTCCAACGCAGTTTAAACAAGACACGAGTTTAAGACACTCCTTTTCCCAAAGAATAATTTCATTATTGTTAAGTACCAGTAGTATAGGCTGTGGTTGGGGTCAGAAAAAGTATTTGCTTATACATTATAGTAAAATGTCTGAATTAGCCCCAATAGGGATTTTCGCTTTTCTCGTGCGGCTCTGTTTGATCTACGTGGGTTCCCGTACTGCTGAAGCGGTGTTGACTGATGTGTGAGTAGCTAACTAACGTTGTCTTTATGAATATATCAGCTGATATAACCTCGGTAGATAATAACATGACAGGTATATGTACCTTTATATGCTACTTACAAAAAAACACAAATACTTGAAGTGACAGACAGGTTATGAGAGTTCCTGGTCGTTTTTAATCGGGCTAGCTAACGAAGCTTCGCTGCTAGCTTTCGCATTTATAACGCTAGCCACACCGATGCTAATTGTAGCACAACGGCACGTTACCGATCGGATCATCAACTTTCATTTGGACACATTGCTACGCTACTGCTGTTTCCTGCTAATAAAGAGTGAGTCACAGCAAAACAAATCACAGCATGTTCAACGAAGACTTACTAGCTGAAGTGAATTCATCAGCTCATGACTTTTAGCTCAGTGTGAGGGAGCTAGCGTTACATTAACGTCACCGTAACAGCATGTGAAGAATTAATAGGCTTCCCTCGGCCACCGTAGTTTAACGTTACCCTGCTCGCAAGTTGTAGCTGTTCACTATAACGTATTGTTCCTATCTGATATAACTATTGGTATGTAACTAACGTTATACGATCTGTTTCAGGTCAAGATGGCAGAGCTAACGACACTAGAGAGCCTGCTGGAGATGGGCTTTGAAAGAAACCGAGCGTGAGTGCTCCCAAATCCCCAAATGCATCCTGGTTTATGTACCTCCTAGACTCGAGACAACTTCCATAGAAGTGAAAGTAAAAACTGTAGAGTGAACCGGGTTTTCCATTGATCTCGTGTTTTCAGGGAAAAGGCGGTGGCCAACACGGGCAACCAGGGAATAGAGCAAGCCATGGACTGGTGAGCCTGGATCACACACATAAAACCAACATGTTAATGAAATGGCTGGATGGACACCGTCCTCTGTCGTCCCTTACAGTCCCACAAAAGTTCTCTCTCTGTCTCTCTGAAAGTCAACTTGTGCTTCTGATTCCCCGTCATGTTCTGAGTCCTCATCTCTCCCGTGTGATGCGCGTTCCTCAGGTTAATGGAACACGAGAACGACCCGGACATCGACGAGCCGTTCGTGCCTCCTGTGGGGAACGTCCTGGGAGGAGAAGCAGACAGTCAGTCCACCACGGAGCAGCCGTCACTAGCAGACACCGCCGAAGGTCATTATTTCATTTACAGACACACATTCATATTTAGTTATTTGCTATTTACTGTAGGAGGATATTTATTGAGATTTTAAAATAATGTGATTAGTCGTATGACTCATGTATTCACAATCTATAAACAAGGTATAAACTCCAAAGTAGCTTCAGTTAATTGAGTTGGGGGGGGTTATGGTTCATTTCCATAGAGCCAAATTGGTTAGTTGCTTCAGTTTTTACTTTCTCTTCATAGTGTCATCACCTCCAACTAGAAGATTGAATTTGTACGTTCACGTTGTTGTTTCCTTTAGTCTTGTGTTGGACTTTTATCTTTGTCCTCACTGAGGGTTTAAGGATTGTGGTGTCGGGTGTGAAGTTAGGTTCACCTTTTATGTCAACTAGCTCGTTTGCTGTGAATGTTGGTTCCCAGTAAGATATTGAAATACCACACAATACATACGTCTCTCTCATGTGCGTTTTTTTCCGTCTTCAGGTACAGCAGATGGAGTTGGGAACTACGACAACGATGACACAAGTGCAAGGATGCCAATGTCAGAGGAGGAGAAACTTGAGCAAGTTAGACGGTCAGAATCCCTTCAGGATTGTGTGTCTCCCGCTTACATAACAAGGTTACTTTAACACACGTACATACTTGAAATAAGAAGAGGCAAATATTGGTGTGTCTGTTTTTTTTCAGGCTGGAAGAGCTGATGCGCGTGAAGCAGGCGGAGAGGCGAGAGCGAGAGCGGGCAGAAGAGTTGGAGCGGGAGAAGCAGCGGAGGAGACAGGGCCAAGAGCTGCAGCAGATTCGCCAAAAGCTGCAGGATGATGATATGAAAAAGCTGGCTGATCAGCGCATGAAAGAGAAGATGGAGGACAAGATGGCACGGTAAGGTATCCACTTTAACACGGTGTAAATATTATACATTGGCCCTGGTGGGTAATAACTTCACTTTTCATGGGCCGTGTGGTCATGTAAAACGAGGGATGAAATAATACAGTACATGAACATCCAAAGATGATTCCACTCAAGCTCCGAACATTTAGTTGTAATAGTAATTAGTTATAGTAGTAAGTTATCTCTACCTCCATGAATTGTTTTAAAAATACTGGATCACAGTATAAAGATGGAAACTAACTAGGGCTGATTTCCACATCATAAAAAAACGAAATGCAGCAACTCGGCCCAACTCTATCCTTCTCCTCCATGAAACCAGGAGCGCGTGGAAAGACTAGAAATAATCAAACCAGGCAATGTTGAGGAAAACCCTCGGCACGGATTAGCTCATAAGTTTAAACAAGGAATGAGTGGCTCATTCGCGTGTTACAGGCATGTCACATTTGAAGTCAGCCAACTCTACAACGGTCCAAGTAAGATAACTCTTTTGTGCAACTGTCTTCATTCCTTTCATTGTGTTGGTTGTCTTCATTCCTGTCAGGCAAAGGGTTAAAGACAAGATTGCACGAGACAGAGAGGAGCGAGCACAGAAGGTAACCCAATCAATCTTCATCTAGTTATAGATCCTATTTAAGTTTTCCTCTTTTCAGTCCCTTGATATCTCTATTGCCGCTTCTATTGGAATTAAAAACCTTTTTTTTTTTTGTACCCTTCTCAGTTTGGAGGCATTGCCCCCCCGAGCACGGCATCATCGTCCCAACCTGCTCAGCCAAGCCCCTCATCACCCACCAGTCACGGACCGCCACCCACTAAGAAGGAGTACGATGAGTCCAGGATACAGGTACAGGCTTCTCTTTACGCCACACAAAAATCAATCTTACCGGGAAAGCGATCAATTTCACAACAAAACGCATGATAAAGAACCAGTTTTCACTTACTTTCAATAACATTAATTTACTCTTAAATATCTTTATTTGAATGTTACACATATTTCTGGCCTGAAATGGTCCAATAGCTCACTTTTCTCTCCTGTGCTCTGCGGTTACAGGTACGTCTGCTGGACGGCTCGACCCTCACGGCGGTCTTCAAGGCCCAGGAGCCGCTGGCGGCGGTGCGCGTCTACGTGCAGGTGAACGGCAACACACCCGAGGGTCAAGACTTCACGCTGCTGTCGCCTTACCCGCGTCATGTCTACACCGAACTGGACATGGAGAAGCCCCTCAAAGAACTGGGTGAGCGCCAGGACCACGTTTTGAATGTAGAGCACATGGAGCACTTTTCTTCTCAGTGTTTGGCTTTAGAGTCAACTCAAAAGTGACCCTCGGACTGTCCGTGGCCTCATTTCGTGACTTTCCTTCCGGGTGCTTCAGGTTTGGTGCCTTCGGCTGTGCTGGTTGTTGCCAAAAAGTGAGATCGGGAGGATCCGCTCCACGAGCCTACCTCACCACTTCCCCCTGCATCGGCACAAGGAACAGATCGAACCAGGAACAGAGCCAACACCTCTCGAGTATCACTCAACAAGTCCGCTAACTGAACTAATGCAGAGAGAGATAATGTAGCTGGAGACGAGAGTTAAAATGGTTTCTATCTGCTCTTATGAAGTTTTCAGCCATAAGCAGTTCAGCTAACTCAATGAATGAATGACGCTCTTTGCCATTCTGGTCTCAATAGATTTTTTTTTTGTGCAGTGAGATGGAAAGTGACTTTTACTTAAGAACAAAGTGAAGATAGCTGGCTTCTGATGGATACTGCTTCAGAATTGTTTTAATTTTAACCTAATCTTTATAAGGCAAAGTATCACACCAGACCTACTGATGAAAGGGTCTTACATTGAATCCACACGATCTTCCTGATTTTGTGAAATTCTACTTTGCCAGTTTTTTTATAAGTTAAAATATATTGACAGTTATGTCTACATAATCACCAAGAATCTACTTAAAATAAAGCTGACTCTGAAATTTGTCTGTGACCTTCTTTAAAATGTGTCAAAGTAGAACATGAAAGCCCAAAATTAATTGATTCTGTGGTCTGATATTAATACCAATCAGCCTAATGATTTGTTCATTCATTATTACACAACCAAATTTACACTTCAACAGTCCACAAATGAACCATTTACTCCAATTAGAGTAGAAACTACAAATCCCAGCTGCTATGGGATTAGCAATTATTTTACATACAAAGAAATTAAGGATTTTATTGAACCATGCAAAACTGCAAGAAACCAACACACATCCTCACTATACTGGTTTTCTGACACAAAATAAAGCCCTACATTTTTAAAACATCCGGTGAACTAAAATTCCATCACATACGAAATAAAACGCAAGATGTGGATTGGCGTTTTTGGGCCACGACAGGTGAACATGTCAAAGTAGGAGAAGCACAGGTGTCGATAAATGAACGATGGCTGCCTTACTTTGAAGGGTCCAAACAGAACCCTGAACAGAAGCGAGTCGTCGTTAGGATTACGTGAGCTCCTCCTGCTATGACGAGTGAAAATGTCCGCTGTTACGAAAGGCCGCAGGACATATTGAGCCAGCAGGTTTCAGAGGATAGTCTTCACTTCAATACACGCAAATTAGCACGCTAATAATGCACATCAGCACATGAAGCGTCCGTGTTAAATGTCTCCATTGATCCTGCTGGAAGTTCATCTTAACTCGTCACCTACATGGATGGGAATTCAATGGGATTAGCTTTTGACTGGTGCCACCATTAATGAATCAAGACATCTTTGCTTTCATACTATTGAGGTAAAGATTTCAGCCTCATAGACCTGCTGGCTACAGGACTTCACACAACAGCCTGATTCCGTGGAAATGAGATTCTCTTAAAACGACTGCAGACGAGGCGATGCAATGATGTTCACAATCCTCCTTCAAAAATACTTTTAGAAAAAGCTGCTTTAGATACAAGAAGCCGTAGTTGACCTTTCACAAAGTATTGTGACGAAAGCACAAGTAAACAGACACAATTAGTTCTGTTGTGACACTATAAAACACCTTTATATACATTAGAAAAAACAACAAATATCCTACTCTGGAATGGTACAAAATGTCAATCATACATCACCTGTGAAGTTGGATAAACTGGATGAGTTTAAAATGGGAGAAAAGGGCTTGCAAACAAATACAAAAATAGTTCTGATTAAAATAGAGAGACGCTGATGCGCGGAGAAAAGGAGCGGCTTCCTTTCATCGTCTTTCCATCCGTCGCTGCAGACTCAACACTGAAATGACACAACATGTCCCCCCCCCCAAAAAAGAGCCCGAATCCTGACCCTTCTTTAATCACATCCAGGGGAGTGAGGTAACTCAGAGGAAGGACGGGGAGGAGAGGATGCTGGGATATTATTTTTCATGTTTATGTTTCAGTTTGTTCAGCCGAGAGTCGTCCTGGGCTGAAAACATTTGCCGTGGCCTTGTGGTGTCACAGTCACTGTCGGCGCCCTCTAGCTGGGGGGATAGTAGCCTTGGTTGTAGTTCCAGGTGTTCTGGTAACCGTAGTTGCCGTAGCTTCCGTAGCTGCCGTATTGCGGCTGCTGGAAAACCATCACAAAAAAAAAGAAGAAGAAAAAGCTTGTCAGGGGGGGAGAAGTGAAATGCCACGACGGCTCGTGAATCTAGCAACTTGATTGACAGATTGGGCAAGTGATGAATGAATAAACACATCAGTCAAATTAAGTGATGATGCATTATCTCGAGCAGAGAGCCGTCTCACTTCGTTCTCACCTCTTAAGAGATGAAGAGATACTCTAGTGAAAGACGGTTGGGATAAAGACAAACTGTGCCAATACGTAGAATAAAAAGTACCAGGATGTCCTGATGCATCAGGTCGCATTTGAGGAATGCGAGCCAGCATGCTTTTCCAGCTCACAGTCCCGTGCACAGCGGATACAGTCAAAGGTGCAATCTTATGACAGAGTACGATGTCTCAACTGTATGCTGAATACATGACATAAGGACGTGTATTTAGGGTCTGGAAAGTAAAAAAAATGAAAGTAAAAACAGATTTGGAAACAAGTAATTATAGATAGATATAAACTTTATTAATCCCCAGGAAGGGGAAATTTGTGAAATGCAATGTACACAGAACATGTCAAAGTGCGGCATAAACCCGCTTTAGAGTCTGTTTACTTTAAGTTAAAAGCAGGGAAAGGCAGTTTGATTTATGAGGCGCATTTCATACACAAAGTTGGGCTCCTCGTGCCGTACGGATCAGTGAAAACAAGTTGTGACAGTCCAGCGTTTATACGACCGGCAGGAAGTTGGAGCGTCAGCCTTCGTCTCGCTGCTCAGACTAGTAGGTCCTCGTCCAGTGAGCTAATATGTCTCGCAGGTTTACATTGCTCGAGCATGTTAGTAATACGTTTAGGCTCAAGTAAGGATTTATAAAGTGTTTAAAATCTACCATGTGGCCTTCTAGTAACCAGTGCAGCTTTAAGAAACAGGCCGTCCTTTTGGTTTGAGCTCCTAAGGTTCAATTTTAAAAGCATGCAGCAGATGTGCAACCATTTAGCATCATATACATAGGAATACATAAAGTATTTTATGGGCTTTGGTTTTTCTGCACCTCAGTAAAGCCATTGTAAAACCATAAAAGCCTCTTTTGGTCAAGCCATTACAGATAGTTCTTCATCCACACATAATAAACGCTTCCTACCTGGTACCAGCTGCTGTATCCCCCATAGGCGGCCTGTGAGCTGGCGTCGGCGCCCACCACAGGAGGAGGCGGCGTCGTGATGGGGACATGCGCCATCGTCGCTGCCACTTCTGCAGACACGGCAACAGCCGAGCCGTCGTCACTTTTGCTCATCTTCTCCGAGTCCTCATCCCTGAAAGAAGTCCAACTATGACTAGTGATCGACTATCAATAAGTTGACACTTGAGTCGAGACATTGCATGAAACGTGACCGCTTTTTTCCTCCACTGCTGCTCTCTTTAATTTAAATTTGTCTTCAAATTTGTCATATTTGACTCAATAGACAAAATCATTAAGACAGAAATAAAGGAGTTGCCCTTCAAAATAAAAGCATTACTACAAAATACTATTCATGACACTGATATTTGATTGAATCTACCCGTTCTCTGCTCCTCTCTTCGTTCCGCCCAACTGCTTCAGCAGCTTCTGGTGCTCCTCGTAGACCGACAGCACACTATCACAAAACAGACACAATAAGACCAAGACAATGAGCGACTACATGTGGGTCCCAAGACCAAGACCAATGGGTCGTCCGTGGCGCCAACCGGGTTTTTTTTGCGGAAGACTCGTGTCGAGGTCTGACCTCGCAATAGAGTTGCTGTAGTCCTCCGCAAACTGCAGGCGTCTCTGGGAGAAGAGGATCTTGGTGTGGGGGGCGAGGGCAGCTGCCAGCGCTCGCGTCACACACTCCTGCACCGCCTCCGCTGAGGGGTCGCCCGACACCTCCAGCTCCAACAGGTTCAGGTGCAGCTTATCGTTGTCCTGAGGGGAGGGGGCACATGGAGAGGAAGCAGTACTTTATTTTTAGTTATTGTAAAGGAGTGGCGCGACGGTACAAACAGATCTTCAAAAGCAAACAAAACAATCCTTGAATTCAGTTGATCATAAATGAAAGGAAACATGGTAGTTAATATTATATTCCTTTTCTGTCAATACATAGAAGTGTGATGTTTGTCAGAACCATTTCTATATTGTGTATATATATATATATATTATAATGAAATCACAGAATCAGAGATGTCATTCAAATTCACCAGCATTAAAATGAAAGTGACTTTTTTACATCATATCAGTTATCAGAAAACAATAAAGGACGTTAAGTCAGACTCTTAAAAACACTTTTAGCCGGTTGAGCCGTCCATAAGCCAAGCCAACTCCACTGCAGCTTCGAGGACGGAGGGCTGACAGAAGATTGACCACAAATGTATTTGCGTAAATGTTCTCACCGGGCTGATCTCCAGCGCCTCCTGTAAGACTCCGCGGGCTCTGCTGGGGTTCCTGCCCAGCTTCAGCAGCAGCCGTGCCAGCTTGATGGAAAAGAAAGCGTGCAACGTGGGATTCTCTTTGGATTCGTCCACCGCCTCACGCAGCAGCGCCTCCGATTGGTCCAGCAGGCCCGCCCGCCTCTCTAGAGCCGCCCTGCGAAGTCGGACGACCGCCAATCCCGGGAGCGTTTTCTCCAGAGCCTCCAGCACCCGCCGGGCCTCGCTCAGGTCCCCTGGTGGAAGAAGATGGGGGAGACTTTGAGAGTGTTGTGATAAACAATGTGTTTGTATTTGATCATGTCAGTGTTGTAGAAAAGATGAATGATGAAGAGATTGTTTTGTTTGACTTTAAGACTCCACACAGAGTTTTGGTGAGTCACACATAGAACTCGAATGAAAAAAACCCAAAAAGGTGAAAAAAAATTGAATGAAAAAACCCCCAAAAAGGTGCTAGTGGGCATAGAGGTGGGCAAACAAATCCAAATCCTTACACAAATGCAAACGTTTTATGATTTGTATTTTTCTTTATTTTTAATAAATTACTAAATCATTTATTCTGCTCGGCTCATTTTTTTTTATTACAACCTGATTTTTTTGCCCTATTAAAAACTTGTAATCGCAATTAATGAATTTTAAAATGTGAGATTAAATTGTTCATATTTTTTTTATCTATTGACAGCCCTAGTATGTATTCAGTTATGAAAAAGAAGTAAAAATATGTTCAATTGAAATAACTAAAAATAGTGTATATATAAAATATATGACCCATTAGTCGCTTTTACACATTCTTATTACAGCTCCTTTATTTGTTGAGACTGAACTCCTTCCACCTTTCCAAGGAACGAAAGAACAAAGCTGTGTTTGTGAAGTGTGTGTGTGTGTGTGTGTGTTGTCGCACCGTGCCTCTCCTCGAAGGTGGCCCACTGCATGTGGATGTTGGGTTTGTACGCCAGGTGGACCTCACAGGCCCGTTTGAAGACAGCGCGCGCCTCCTCCAAACTCTGCGACTCCAGGTACTGGTTGTACTGAACGACACGTACGAGAACGTGTTACACACTCGCACACATTTAGATTTCTATATACATACACAACAATGATCACCTGTGTAGGCCCTTTTGTGTGTTCTTTCACTAAATACGACTAACACATGAACACACTTTTCTTCCTCACCCTGATCCAGAATTCCTCATACAGGGCGCAGGCAATCAGGCAACGCTCGAAGAGAATGCGCACCCTGGTGTCGTCATGGGCAACCGCAGCCCCCTCTGAGTCAACCTGTGGCTGGACTGTGACCTCCGGCTCCTCTGTGGCAGCCTGGTCTGGATCTACAGGGAGAAAACGGAGTAGGGAACTGAGAACGCGGTCAGATATTAACACGGACTCGTAGACCTGCTGAAACAGGAGACAGCCGACCTTGTTGGGGGTCTTGGGAGTCTTGGGGGTCTTTGGGGTCCTTGTTCAGCTCGGCGACCTCCCAGTCCAGGTAGGAGTGCCAGGCCCTCAGTTGGAGGCGATCCAGGGGCTTGACGTGGAAGTAAGGACGTTTGATCTACGGGCCGGAGAAAAGGAAATCAGCAAGTGATGGAACCAGGAAAGTGTCCTTCCAGGTCAATGAAGGAATTTACAAATTTAGCTGCAAAACTTCACTAAAATTTGCATTAATAAATAGTGAAAAACCCTGAAATGTTTTGATAGCACAAAGTATTGAAATTGGCTAGTTTCTGACCAAAATGTTACCTTTAGCAATTATATGTTTGGAATTTTGAGAGAGAACTCGTACGAATGATTTTCAGCAAGTATAACATCGTATCCAACGATTCAGTTTGGCCTCTTTTACCAAATGAAAAAGGCCTTTGTAGAACTGTTGTTACTGTTGATGAAAGAATTTTTTTTTTTTTAAAACAGAGCGGAGCCGAGAAAAGAGAGAAAAGAAGAACTCACAGCGTCTTCAAAGTGCCAACGCTTGCGGACCTCTCCCTCGTTGTCTTGGTACACTTTGTCCCTGCGAAGCAGCACTTGTTCCCTAATCTTCTGCATCAATTCCTCCTGAACACAGAGAGTAGGACAACATCAGCGCAATCATCTCTGTAACTTCATGTCCCCCCACGTTTGAAACCTTCGGACGGAGTGCGAGGCCGCCACCTGCTACTCACCGAGTCGGTGCCCTCCGGTGTGGCGGGCTCTTCCTCCCCTGGCGGCCGCTCCTCCTCCTCCTCCTCCTGGGCCTGTTTGGCACGCTCCGCTTTCTGAGTCTGACGGCACAGCGTCCTCAGCTCCTCATATTCCTCTGTGGAAAGCACCTCTTCAGGCTCCTGGCCGTTGAGTTGGTCTTTGAACCTGGCGAAGTTCATTGCAGGAGAGAAACAGACAGAATGAGTTCAAGTACGAGTGGCTGAGACGTTGATTTCATGTTAAATAAACCACTAAATATATTCATTATCTAACAAAGTTCAGAAATACACGCACAGCTTGTGTGTGTGTGTGTGTGTGTGTGTGTGTGTGTGTGTGTGTGTGTGTGTGTGTCCTTACTTGTCGTAGTGGGTGTTGTAGAGCTGGGTGGGGACTTTGAGGACTCTGTCCAGGACTGCTACGGCTCTCTTCATGTTCCCCTGCTCCTTTTCCCACTCGACATAAAGATCCCACAGCCTGTCGGAGTGGAAGTCCAGACCTGCTGCCACAACCGCGTCCTCAAACACACTGAGGGTTGAGAGAGACGAGTAAGACTGCGGCTTTCACAAACAGCAGCGCACTTGCTTTTTATTTAAACGTTACCATCAGTTTCTACTTTTTACACGTCCAACGGCATAAAACACAACAACAACAAAAGGCGATTCTGTACCTGCGAATCCTCGAGGGCGACTCAGGGAGGTTCATGTCCAGTGTTCCCAGCAGCAGATTGATGTAGTGGATCCACAGATCTACACTCAGCGGGATTGCCTGTAGACCCTGGACACACACCTGACACAGCGCGACACCACATCAAAACGCCGCCGAAATAAGACTTCACAGTGTTCACACTGGCGTGGGAGAGAGGGAGCACAGAATTCTAAAGCCGGTCTCCAGTTTTACCTCCTCTGCTTTGTTGTTGAACCCAGCGCGGCGTTCCAGATCGGCAAATTTCTTCCAGTAGCCGTAGCAGAGCGGGTAGCGAGTGAGGAAAGCCGCCAGCGCTCTGCGCGACGCCGTGATGTGACTCTAGACATGCCGGAGAGAAAGTTAAGGCCTAAATGTGACTCTGGGTTACCATTGGGTCCATAGAGGTCAATATCTTAAACGTATCTGTACTGAGGGGGAAAAAAAAACCTATTGATCATCCTCGCCTCTCAGAACACAACGACGACTACACACCTCTTGCTCGCAGTATTGAAGCAGGTCCGTCCAGCCGGTGAAGTCTTGAGGATTGTCGTGGGCGGCCTTCCACAGGCGCTCAAAGTCCGCGGGCAGTTCCCCCTCGTCGTCTTCCGCAGGTGGGGGCATGGAGAAGGAAACGGGGTCGGGGCGCACAGAGACGTCGGGGGCCACGGCGGGACCGCCGTTCTCTTCCGACATCTCTGCCATTTCGGCTCGAGGCGATGCGGCGGCCTCAGAGGCCTCCGTGGCTGAGGATGAGACAGATGGAAGCGTAATGAGCGAATTTCACAGGTACGCCGCTGTTTCTTTTGTGAAGGTGTGTGTGTGTGTGTGTGTGTGTGGGGGGGGGGTGTAATTTGACCCTTTGGCCATAATCCCTACCTACTAATGTTATTTTAAACAGAAACACAACAATGTCACAGCCTGCTCTTTTACAAAGAAAGACACCGCAACAAACTTTCAACAGCTACTGTTATTCTCCAGCAATGAATGACTGAGAAGTTAAGTTAGTTTTCGGTTTTCCTGTTTATTGTCACTGCATGATGGAACACCTTCAACACCACGAAACCTTTTATATCCATTCCTCTGAATTATTTGAATTTAATTGAGGTGTGGTGGCAAAGTAATCACAACAGAAACGGACACTTTGAGTGCTTCTCACATTCTTTTTAGTTTTTTTAATGGAAGTTGAAGGCACCTTCAAATAAATGATAGAAAAATGGCATTTGCCTCAATAAGAATAAGGCACTGCTTAAATACATGTAATGTGATTCATGAACCTTCCTCTTGAAAACAAAAAGAGGCCCAACAGGTGTTAACACCATACAACAAGGCGTAAAAGAAAAACACGCTCATTACCATTTACTACTACAAAACCTAAGCAAATAGGGGATTAAACCTACTATAACGTGCAGTTTAAATGCTTTTATGAAAAAATGATACTACATTGACTACTCTAAACTAGCACCCCCAGCAGACAAAAAACAACAAATGAAAAAAAAAAGAAAAAAGTTACTTTCTTCATTTATTCTTGCAACACCATGATCACACCTGCAGATTTAGGTTTCATTCAGTAAAAGTAGTTTACATGCGTTTGATCTACACTACGGGACTGACTCAGGTCCCGTTAGGATGTTGTGGACATAACTCATTAAATGACTGATTTCTGACCGCAAACCACTTGCCGAAGCGTTGGGTGGTGAGTGAGTTGAAGTTATTGTACAGAACGCTGTGCTGTTTCGTGCTGTGTGTGTAACGTTACTTGAAATCACGTTAGCCTAGCTTAGCTTGTCACGCTTGTCAACAAGCCTCCGGTCACATCGGAGCTTTATTTAAAAGACTTGCAGCTGAAACCAATGCTGGTTAATATCCGTGAAACGACAAAACGGCGTATGGTACATTCATTCATTTCGATCTAACTACCTGAAGACTCTTCGAGCTCCCCGTTGCCGCTCATCTCCTCATAGCCTTCCGCCGCCATGATGGTAAACGTCTCACTGACGTCATTCTCCCGCGACAGGTCACTGACAAAAAGAAACAGAAAATAACGGAAAAATAGTTATAATGTATAACGGTTATATTTTTCCCTCGAAAGTTTGAATAGTGACTGCATTACTTGTTTTATGTTATTTTGTGGTTTTCAATTTTGTTATCGTACAATGTATTGAAAACTTAAAACTAAAAACCTTTTCCTGTGGATGTACAAAAATCCAGATTCCTGGTAATTAGTCAACCTAATATTTGACAGCGTACATATACCTATACAAGTGATAAAGTTCTTAATATAAACCAAAACTGATAACGGTTTAGAACATAATTTGTCAAATAACTTTACAATTACACATCTATATTTAATTGTGTATTATCTATTTTCTTTTTATTCACAAGCATAAGGGCAAAAAACAAAATAACACTTCAGAGAAACCTGTACATAATTCTGCAATCAAGAAACTACAGGTACAGTCAGGCAATGTTTTAAAAAGCTGTGTGTGGACAAGGTATAAGTGGGTGCTAGAAGATACCACCTGGTTACCACATACTCATTAAGCCGGACCAGTTGAGATTAATTTTGTTCCCAAGTAGATGGGTGAGCATTATCATCTTCTACACACTTAGTTTCAACAAAGCGAGCTACTGTGTATTATGCTCAAAAGTATTTTTTTTTTTTATGAACATACAAACACAAGTAGAATCCTTAAAAAAAAAAAAAAAAAAAAAAAAAGTCATGAACTTTACTTATTGGCTAATTAATACAGTGACCGCCTACAAAGCCTCTTGAAGATATTGCTACATTTCTCTAACATTAAACTTTTAGAATAGTATTCAATATTATTTTCAGTAAATTTATGGTCTATGCACCAATTTATCACATTTCTTGAATACGAGACGCCACTAACAAACCACATTACCGCTGAAATTACAGGGTTTTAGTATAGAAAAAAAAAATAGAAAGAGACTTTGACATTTGGTCAACTTTATTTATACTTGGTCTATTTTTTAAGAGTACATCTGGCAACTTTGAATCTGTTCCTTCAGTTACATTTCAACCAATTCAAGCCATCATCTGACAGTTGCAGCAACCTAAAACAAATCAAGGACAAACTCATAGCGATTTGAAAATCCAGGGTCTCTAGAGAATCACATGAATATTTTAGGAGTACTCTGTGTGCATTTAGGATTGATTTGTTATGTAAATCAAAAGGCTTTTAAAATTAACATTTGCTAGCAAAACACTCGTTTAAGGAATAGATTTGATCATTAAGATCCAAATGACACAATGGAAATCCTGGATGATCCCGACATTGAAAAACACATGGACAAGTTTAAGTTTTCACTCAAGTGCATTAAAAATAATCTAGTAAACAAAGCGGGGAAACAACCCAGTAAAACAAAGAAAGCACATCAACAGGAAGATCAGCAAACATCAGTGGTTCAGTTCCCTGAAGTTATTCAGCTGAAAATCTCTGTGCAGCAGTGTAACAAGTTGATCACGTGAAAGAGATGCTAATCATTTCATTGCCCAAGAATTAATCACTGAAAAGCTCGGGGAGGGACCCGACTAGATGATACTGGCCTGAACTGGTGAGAAATAGGATTTCTTCCCCTTTAGAGGAAATATTAAGAACATCAGGATGAAAGCGCAGAGAGTGTTGGCAGCACTCTCAATAGGTATAGACTGTGGCACGAGTACAGAAGGTACAGCTGAGTGAAGTGCTTGGCTTAATAGAGAGTTGGAATGAGTATTAAGTCAGAAACAGATAGCGGGAATTACCAGTAGGAGGAGCATGTGTTTTGGATGCAAACCTTCATTTTAAAAAGCGAAAAAAAAATTCCCTCACAGTGATCTTTTCCTGCCCGGTATGGATCGGCAACAACAAAAAAAAAAAAGGTGCTTCAATTTTTTTCTGCCAAAAGATCCATTACAATTACATAATTTCTTTCAACTATTGTGTATCTGTAAATCTGACAAACACTATCTAGCAGTAAACTTTTGTTGTTATGTATTAGGGTATGACTGAACCAGCAATGTTCCATGGCTCAGTTCCACTGACAGGTTGTGTGTGTGTGTGTGTGTGTAGGGATTAAAACTGTTCCGTTTGTGTCCTTTATTCTTTCCATGATGGCTATCCTCTGTTTCTCCACTCCCGCTCTCCTGTTCAATTCAATCGGTTTCTCCCCTTCCGTTTCCATGGTTACTGGAGCATCACGTTCCAGTCCAACCCTGCGTTCACGCCGGGCTTCCGAAGCGTCAGCACCGACATTGAGGCATCAAAGTCAAACTCTAGCTGGCTCTCCTGACCATCTGAAAAACACAAAAACCATATGAAGCAAACCTGAAGTTTCTGAAATATTAATTATAGAATTTATCAATTGTCAAAACACAGCTTAACTCACAAAAAAGAACATGTAGATATTTGAGAACGTTTAAAAACTCTTTACAGAAACTTTAAAGTACTTTGCGAGCATTCAGCTTAAGGTTAGTGGGAGGATCGATGCTTTGGGCCGGACTGCATTCTGAAAATTGCCACACTCTTAAGATGGTATTTCCTGAATCAGCACACATTCCCTAACTTTAAACAAATTACACATGAGCACAAATTGAAATGTAATTCACTCACCAGCAGTCTTAAGCGTAACCTTGCTGGGCTTACTGGCCCCCAGTATGACAATGCGTTCAATCCAGGAGCCGGTGGAGAACTCCGCATCTGTAGCCAGGTTTCTGTGGACCGAGCAGGGACAGACACGTAATATTTGTAAAACTGTTTCAAACAAATCAAAAATGTCTTATGTCTGCGATACAAAAATATATAAAATGATTATTAAAATATCCAGTAGCATATCGAAGGCTCATTTTCTGCTGGAGAAGCAGGAGAATATTGGATACTCACACAGAAGAGAGCATGTTCTTGGCAAAGGACAGCCTTCTGTGGATGAACTCCTTCTTTTCATAGTTGAAGGTGTGGCCATCATCTATGTAGAGCTCACCTTCTGCAGTTCGCTGTAAAAAAAATAAAGTTAAAAACACCAATAAGACCATGAAACAGGTCACATATTATAAACAAATGTGTTTAAAGAACAATGTTTTCATCCATTTATTATCCTGAATCCTCGCCCTGTTGATGCACACGATTCAAGGATTTAATATATGAACTGAATAGTTTTTTTAAATTATGTTATACTTTTCACTTTTTGACAAAGCAGCTGTGGGGGAATAATATATATATATATATATATATATATATATATCTATATACATATTTTAAATAAGTGTTTTTGCAGCTGCCATTTCAGTTACCTGCAGGTTGAGAGCCACGTATAAAGTGTAGGGATCGTGCGTCATGCAGGAGGAAGACCTGCGAACTCGCATCTTCCTGGGAATAATAGAGCCGCCACGCTGGAACACGGGGATCTGGAAAGAAGGCAACAAGCTCAATTTTAACACGAGAGGACAAAAGGGAACAACACTGTAATAGGATGTGCAGCAACAAAATATAGAAATCTGTCTTACAGAACTCATGGTGACTGGGATGTACAGGCTCTGAGCCCCGTTGTGCTTCTGGAAGGTGTGGACGTCAAACCAAACCTGAGGAACACAAGAGGAGACGAGGTTTTTTCAAAATGATCTTCTTGACACAGCCATTAAAATGCAACCCTGAGCCCAGCAGAAACATGGCTTTTCACAGTAAGATGTGTTAACGTTTCTTCTATCGTACCTGGTCTTTGCCAGGTAGGTAGGCGGTGACTCCCCTCGCTCCTTCCTCGGTGACTGGGTGCACCAACAGGTCCTTCCCTGCAACAATGTATCCCAAGTTTTCATTCTAGCAGGTCTTCTCGTCCCAGGCTTAATATAAGGGATCCAAACCCAAGACAAACCGTAACCGCCCAAAAATAATAGATTCTACACCTAAACGGATGAATAGTTGGTGGGACATTGTTCATCAGACACTGATTTAACAACTAAAAACTACAAAGAGATCTCATGGTGGATCTGATCTAGTTAGGAAGAAGACAACATTGAGCTTCTGGTCAAACTATACAAAAAGGGACCCCCTGGGCTTAATGTAGGTATACTTAAAGTAAAATGCCCATTATTAAAGATTGGTTGTCTGGTGTCTTACCAATCAAGAACTCATCATCCAGAGCAAACGTAGCAGGATCCTGAGGATACTCCACCCACAAGGGTCTATGACAGACAAAATGTTGAGTGAATTCAAAGCAACAAGCAGGTTTTCTCTGCATAATTCGGAGTCAGATTTAGGTTTGTACTTCCTTTGAATTGGGCAAAATATTCACCACGACGGGAAATGATTTTATACAGTAAAGATGACTTCCTGCCCCGTGCTCACCTCATGATGGGCTCTCCAGTGCGGTATGCGTGGTAGAACTGCTGATACCAGTAGGGCAGCAGGGTGTAGCGCTGGCGCACCACGTCGCGGATCAGTGCCGTGTTTTCCGGACCAAACAGCCAGGGCTCTCGGCGCGGGGTGTCCAGGTGGGCGTGGGCCCTGAAGAATGGCTGGTAGGCTCCAGTCTGGTACCAACGCACCAGCAGCTCAGTGCTCGGAGACTTGAAGAAACCACCAACGTCGGCTGAGAGACAGATGAGTCAGAGTTAGTGTCAGAAGGCAGTTCAGGGGGTGACAAATGAATTCATTTGATGTTTCTTCCTTTAAATGAACCTCATTAAACGCAGGTGCAGAGAGATATAACACTTGATCTCATACAGACTTACTGCTAAATATAACTGCAGCTAGGTTACCCAGGGAAACGGTACAGTCACCATGGCAACAATGCATGCAGTTCACATTTCAACAATACACTTCAGAGATTCAAGTCATATCCGTACAGATTCTATTTCTATTTTGGCATCTCATTGCTTTACTTATTTCTAAGGGTACTGTAATTACTGGTTATTTTAATAGAGCATCTTAAATAAAAAGCAGAGCGCTAATTTCCATTTTACGGGTGTATTTTATCAAATGTTCTAAAACAATAAGAATATGTCCATATTATAGAGTTGAACTTACAAGTGTACAAAGACATAACCATGTGGAAATAAACATTGTAAAAAAGGTATTTACATATACCTAAAGTATGACAAAAAAAAAAAAAAAAAATGCAACTCAAATTTGCCACAAAATTTTTTTCTATTATATTTCTTAATATATTTTTGGGGTTCAAACTCACCACCACAGAAAGAGATTCCCACCAGACCCAGACTCAGACACATGGGAATGGACACCTTCAGATGGTCCCACTCAGCAGCATTATCTCCAGTCCACACAGCACCTACAGACACACACAATTCAGCAATCAAGGTCCTGTGCTGAAAAAGCCAGACAGCAGAAGACAGCAGCCAGACAGCAGAAAGAAAACATCCATAAAGGGCTTACCGTAGCGTTGTGACCCAGCAAAGAAAGCTCTGGTCAGGACAAACGGTCTCTCAACTCCCCCTGACCTCTGGATCTGACCCTCCGCTGTGGCCATTTGCTGCAGGTTGTACACAATAATCAGTGCAATTACAACCCATCAGATGTTTGTCCTTTGGTTCTCTTTCTAAGTCATTTGCTAACTATGACAGTTTTTCTTCAATTAGATATAAATCGACTATACTGGCCAAGCTGTTACTTCCATGAAAATGAAAATGTTGCACAAAAAAATGGTGGCATAGCATCAAGTAAAAGTACAGCAAGATATCTTCATCTGTCCCAGGGCAAATCAATAAGTGATTTATTTTACTAAAACATGTTCATCATTCTTTTAAATATTTTTATTGCATTCAGCATTGTCTTAATGTTTGAACCCTTTACTGAAAATGATACTTTGCAGTAAATCAACTAGTGGCTCATGAATGAGTAGTCGTGCATGAATAATCAACCCGACTGAAAAACACGAGCACGAAATGTCAAGAAATAGAGAAAGCATCAGTCGTTACCGTTAAGCCACAGACTGCATGCACTCACCACATACAAGCCATACAGGTTGTGCACGTCACGGTGCTCCCAGGCTCCGTGCACAGCGTCCTTGTGCATGGTCACCTCCGGCCCGTTAAAGACTGACGGCTCATTCATGTCGTTCCATGTGTACAAGTTCTCCGCGGTACCCTGCAGTGACCACAGATATTGGCGCATAGAAAGTTGAGGCGAAACAAACCATATTATTGGGAAAAACACTTTCTTAAATCCACGAGGAGGGTCGACAAAACTGTAAAATTAAACTTTTAGATGCCGCAAAATGTAGATTCAGCAGGAACAGAAAAACGGTGTTCTGGTTGGCACCGTTTATCAATGAGGGGGTTTTAAAAACACTTGCAGTTACATATTCTTGACCTTTAGCTGAGCAGCAGACAGACGAGTGTCCTTCAGACTTACCTCGTACTGATCGTAGGCAAACATGCTGGCCCACCAGGCCCTCATGTCTGGCCGAGTGAAGTCAGGATAGCCGGCGCTACCTACGGGTCGCCATCGGAAGCACAGATGAATGTGAGATATATTCATTTTAGTCCTCTCTGCATATTCACGCCAACAGCTAGCTCATGTAGAACATTTACAAATGCATTGTCACACATTTTCTGATGATGCAAAGTCGGCAGTTTCTTACCAGGCCAGCACCAGCCCTCATAGTCTCCACCATCTTTGTTCTTGATGTAGAAACCCTTATTTCGGATTTCATTATGGATCTTGTAGTTGCTGTCTACTTTGATATGAGGGTCCACAATGGCCACCATCTAGAAAACAAATCAAAGACGTCTTGAAAGTATATATGCAAGTTCTGTTGGGGTGACTGCAGGTTATTTTACTGACATTTCAGGGGACATGAGATAGAACTTCTGGCAAAAAACACAAAGTAGTGGACCCACACATTGTCTGCCACTAGTGCGACGTTGGATTATTTGCGTTATGTACCTTGCGTTTCTTGTCCTCGAGAGCCTGCAGCATTTCCTTTGGTGATGCAAACTTGTGTGAATCCCAGGTGAAGTAGCGCTTTCCGTCCGTGTGCTCGATGTCTAGCCAGATGTAGTCGTAGGGGATGTCGTGCTCGTCGAAGCCTGCATCCACTGAAGCCACGTCCTCCTGGTCGTTGTAGTTCCAGCGGCACTGGTGGTATCCCACAGCAGCTAGGGGAGGGAAGGACTGGGTGCCTGAAAGACGACAGCAGAAGGAGGCAGGGAGACGTGAGGACACGAACGGAGACGCTCAGTCAAACGCTGATAGTCAAAAAAAGAAAAGCAACTGTATCTTTGGTGGATACAGGGAGAAATAAGATACATTTCCAAAGTCACCGTAAACATCGAAGCCAAAGCTAGTTTTGAAATCAACAAATTCAGTCTCTTTATTGAAGGAGCCAAAGTTCCTTGATTTGTGTATCAAACATTATGATACACATTAATATTCAGAACATGTATTGAAACGGGATACTTGTGCCCCCAACGTGGACTACAAAGCACCCTGAGAAACCAGCTTCCTACCTGTGAGGGAGGCATACTGAGAGAAGACATCTTTGGGTGTGGGCCCAAGCATGATGAAGACATCAATGATGCCGCTTTCAGAGATCCAACGAACATCCGTCTGTGGAGTCTCGCTCGAGCCTTGAACGTAATCCAACATTTTTCCAAACACGGTCTGGAAAGAAAGTGTGAGTGAGTGAAGGACCACATCCACTACCGGACCAGGAACTATTGCAGAAGAAAAAGGGGACACACCTTTCCAGCTGTGTTGGAGCTGATATCCACCCAGGTCTCGGCAGCATTGAGCCAGAAGATGCCAGTGGTTCTCTGGGCTTTGTGGGCCAACATGACCGGGACGGCGCCGTAAAGGGCCATCGGGTTGTACAGCTCGTACTGGAACACATCCAAGTTATAGAGGCGATATGGATCGCCATTACTGAAACAGAAGAACACACAGTCAGCCTTGATCCAATGCAGAGTAGACAACGCTGACCACTGTACGCCATCGCCATTTTGCTTGTGAACCGTGCTCACTCGGTTGTTTTAAGGCGGAGGGTATCTGCGTGTTCTGGAATGCCGTAGACGTGCTCCACACCCGGCAAGGAGAAGTCTAAACTAATAGCAGATGGACCTGTGAGGCGAGATAAGCTTAGTCAGTTTGTGGCTAGTTAACCTGTAAGCCAGATGTCATGGCAACAGTGTTCAATCTAAAAAGAGATTAACTAACTGAAGCGATTACCATTAGGTTTGCTGTCTGAGTGGGATTTAAAGGTTTCCTCCCACATGCCGTCTACTTTCTCTTCCTCTTCTTTCTGGCAGGCCAACCGGAGGAACAGGGGAATTGTTTACAATAGAAGAAACTAAACAGAGAAAGTGCAGCACAAAGTGTATTTTGGTGTGGTCTACCTCTGCCTGGTTGGCCGGATCAGCCTCCTCTTTCTTCTCGCCCTCCGGCTCTGCCTGACTGCTCCATGGCACACAGTGTGGAAGGACGGTTGAGAAAGGGGTTAGAGGAAAGAGAAAGAAGTGTCACTTTGGCAAAGTCATGGCATCCCGGGACATCATATGGGGGAATACTCAAACCGCGGTAAAAAAAGAAACTACCTCCAAAACAGGGAGGGAATACTCCACATGGACAACTAGAAAAGAATCTACATGGATTGAAGTTTAATGACAAAGGGGACCGAGCAATTCCCGACCGTGTGGCTATTTCAGGCTATGCATTATAGGACTGCATCCCTACAGGCTGCTGCTTGTACACCCAGGAGGTCCTTTAGAGAACCAACTGGGATCTCGTGGCACCCTGGTACATCGTGGTGTGATCAAGGCCATAGCAACACACCAGCTGCAGATATAAGGTATTCACATGCAGCTGTGCAGGCCGGATGGTTCACTACGCCGATATTTTAAGCTTGGTCTCAATATGATTCATTATTGTACGGTTTCTATTAATCATTAACTTAAGCCACAGCAGATCAATCAGTGCATGACTGACACACTACAAACAACAATGGTGAAGACTCGTAATGGAATAATGATTGTATGGTGTAGAGCAAAAAAGCAGCGCCATGGCAGCAAAAGAAAAAAAATTTAAATAACAAATGCAAACTGAAGTATAACCACATGGAGAGATGTCGCTGTTGGGTTTGGGAACATGGCGGCCGTGCTGGAGAATAACACAAACCATCTAGTGGGACTAAAACTAAAATTTTGTAAAGACAGAAAGCTTTACTTTTATGTGCCTTCTAAACTGGTGCACACCTGCTGCAACTAGCGGTATATTTCATCTATTGCTCACCATAAGCTGAGCAAGCGTGAGGATTAGTGTCAGTCAACATAACTGGTCCAGACACACAGTCAGTCATGCAGCTATAATGTAAGTGTTAAAACTGCTACGGAGACGATTTGGTTAAGTGGACACTGATCTGACAAGACCGTAAAATCACTGGTTGATTAAGACACATCATACTGATAAAAAAAATTAAAAAAAAAATGTTTGGATGTACCGATTAGGAGGATTTTCTCTTTGTGAAATGATCTTAAGATGTTAATTATTAGTTTAAATAATCCCTCAAAAAAGGAGGATGATAGCAGGAGGCTGGTCTAACCCCTTAATTACAGCAAAAATTTAAAACACAGACATGCACAGTCAGCCACAGCCATGTCTCACGCTCAGTCACGTTTATTGGAGGGTAAGCACTCTTTTTGGTGTGATGAGAGTCCCTAGATTTCTTGTCACCGTTGGCAGCATTAGCACAAGGAACAGAATACACTTACAAATCTTAAGGGTCTTTACCTAGAGAATAACCTCTTGATATTATCCCACACGCTAGCCACTGTGCTAGTTACTTTATAGGAGAAACTAGGATGATAGGGAGAAGAGGACAGAACAACGAGTCAGAGACAATACTTTAAAAAATCAAACCATTTTATGGGAACAAAAATCGAAATCATCCACTGAGCGAGGATGTGGATTAAGAGACTGCTACCATTCGTAAAGGTGAATGCATGCGTGGTTTCTCACGTGTCCTTGCGCATCCTCAGGTGCTCAAAGGCCAGCAGGCCGCGCGAGTTGAGAGACATCAGCACTTCTGGGCCTTCCATGATGTCCAACCGGAAGGGCCGGGCGCTGATGATGACCCTCTGAGACTCCGTCCCCAGGGACAGCACCACTCCATTTTCGTCCTGAGACAGGAGAGACAGGCTGAGAGAGAGAGACACACACGGTGAAGTTAGAGACGATATAGTTTCAGATTAACAAAAATGAGGCAAAAAAAACCTAAACACTGTCAAAGTGCTGTAGGGTTGTCTTATTAAATCCAAATTAAGCTCCACTACATTAAAGAAAAAAAGTGGACACATCGATCTATAATAAAACTAACAACGGCTCAAAAGAGAACACCTTTTGGCCAGTTTCATTTACAAATGGAAGGAAAGACTAATGTGTGAGGTTTTGCTAAAAAAAACAACAACAAAAAAACCCAGAAAATAGCACATAAAAGTTTGGGGTTTTTTTTCCAGCTGGATTTTGTAAAATCAAAACTTCCAGCCAGCAAACACAGGCAGCAACACTCTTGGGAAACTTACGGCTCAGTGGACGGCTCCGTGATGAGCACGTCTGGGACCTCAAATCGAGGCTTCAGGGGCTTCAGCTCGTTAATCTTCACCCTCGTCATGTTTCCCTGGAGACGATAGAGCTCAAGCAGCAGACGCACCTGAGACACAAATTCGGAGAGAGCAAGAGAGACGTAAAGGGGTCAGAAGGTAGTTGGGTTTTAATATCACAAAAAAAGGGAAACTGGTGTCTTATTTTGTCTTGATAACATGAACATTTTCAAATCCAGAACAGGCTTCATTTATAGAAAAGTTCAAAATACAAAATCAAGGCTCTAAAGCCTTTTAGAACCAACTATGCCGTTACGCCGTTAACGCGTTATCTTTACGGAAGCCATCATTTCCCCAATGTGAATTACTTCTGTGTGTTGAATTCACCTTATTGTTGTCATTGATGAGCTGCAGCGTGAGTCTGGTGTTTGTCAGCTCCATGGTCTCCAGCAGGGCTCGATAGGGAGAGTCACCGGGCTTCAGCGCTCGCTGACGCCTTTTAAAAAAAAAAAAAAGGGTGACGGGAGGGGACAGAGGCGAGAAATTAGGAACAGTTCGCTTCTCTTGCAACACCATCTATTAGGTCAGGAAAATGTGCCATTGTCCACTTGCACTCACTTGCAGAAGGCACTCTGGTCACAGGTCTTGAAGTTGCCCTTGTCCACAGCCCATGTCCCGCTGAGGGACATAGCCAGCCAGAGCACCAAGACAGGTGCCATACTGCAAAGAAAATCAAAGAGACAACAGAAGATTTAGAGTTTGCCACCTCTCCAAATAATGTGATGGCGAAGTGATTACCCAAGAGGACCCCAGCAAAACTCAGCGCGCAGACAGGGATTAAAGTTTTACAGACACACAAACGGACTCTGATCGCTCTGTGCGGGTCAACTATGCCCCCAACTGAAACGCGTGAACATGTCACAGGCAGCTAGCTGCTACAAGCAATTTCCCGTTTCCTCGTCCTGCCGGAGCAACAAACTGTGCATTTATTAGCAGGTTGAACAGCATCTAAACGAATGGCATCACACCCCTAACCCCTTACCTAGCCTCACATCTCTCCCCATGACACGTGATGCGCTGTGCTTGGAGATGCCAGTTGAAAGTGGTGGCTAACGGATCAGCTAATGTGGGCTAAACGTAGCTAAATTATCATGGAATCGGGTCTAAAAAAAATAAATAAAAAAAAACGACCGGAACACAGGCACAAATGACTAAGGTTAATTCAACAGCAATAAGGGGCAAGTCTTATACAGACGGTGCAATGCTTGGATGTCTGACAGCGGCATTGTCGTCAATTATAAACAAATATTAGAATCGGGATATCCTACTAACCTTGGTAAGAGCGGCAGCGCAATCCGCTAGCTTTAGCGGTAACGTTAATTCAATTGGAAGGATCGAGACCTTTCTAGTAACGTTATATATCCCCCCTTGGCGGCTATTAAACGTTAGAACAAGAATGTCTACTAAGGGATTACCCACAGAGATACTAGCTGGCTTACAACACGGTGATAATATGCCAAACGAACGATAAATTCACGTTAAAACGTCGATCTTGCTTTGTCTTACCTTCCAGTGAAGGTGGCCATCTTGATTATGCTTCGCTTGACTCCGCCCATTTCAATCCGCAACAAAGGTCGTCAAAGAGTAACGGCAATATTTACTTTTGCTTTATCTAAACGGACAAACGTTATGTGAACACGATTATGCGATTATAACACATACCATTGATACTTTTATTTTACTTCATCGTGGTTGCCATTTTTTTAACTGGTTGACGATAAAACGAGGACGTAAATTTGGTTAAGGGTTCAAGATGAGGGGGCGGGGTTTAACAACTTGAATTCCTCAGGAATGGACATGTCATTTCTAAGCTCCAATCACTGAGGTGCACACATGTATCCCGGATGACATCCAACCAATGCAATCATAGACATGAATGCAACGTATACGGGTTGAAAACACGTGTGCAGACAAGTGCACTCCACCCCATCTTTATAGGGTTTTATTTTATTTTATTATTTACTGATTGGTAGCGAGTCACAGGGTGTATTGCATAGAGCCATAAGAGGAGATGGTGCAGGGAGACGTGGGGTGTTTTCAGACGACGCACTAATTACTGTTAATTAATGTTTTTTTTCTTGTTAAATTAACTTGAACTCCAAACACTATGGGAATTAAATGAGAAAAAAACAATCCCTGCAAAAATTTTATTAAGCGGTAACAAAACACAAATGATTGGAAACAACTGGATTAGAGGATTTACAGAAGGGGAAATAACGTGAAAAAATATTTGTCCTGATGACTTTAATCGCCAGGACAGTCTTGTGCTAATTCTTTTTGAAATAACAAATACATCTTAATTCAAGACACTTTTTAGGACCAAATTATTTATTTTGTAAAGTGGTTTAAACAACAGTTTTTAGGGTGTATAACAACAGATAGAAGGCATGTTTGTGGCCACAATTTGAAAACATATGCAATCTTAAAATTACACAAAACCATTTAAGAGTGAATAAATTGAATTTTCCAACCAAAGTCACACATTAAGGCTGTGCTTTGTGTGGAGCAAATTTTGTAATAACATACATGAGTGCTATTTGTCTTGTCCTCTAGTCTGTCACAGAAACAACTAGTTAGAAAAGTATCAAGTCTAAAAATATGGTACAAAAAAGGTACGCAAACACAAACACGTGCACAAACGTGCAACAAACACACTTAAACTGTTATGACAGTGGCGTGAAAGCAACTTTGCAGGCCGCTCTCAGAGCGATGCAACACAGCATTCTGTCTATTTTATAGTTTATTTGTTTCTCATTACCTGCTACCCACACCGTTCTCTCCACACAACTCTTTAGAGCTGGAACCGCCAGCAGAGATGTCCCAATCTATCAATGTTTTTATGCAGGACACTCTGAATCGGTGCCACATATCTTGCCACGTCACCGTCTCGAGAGAAATCCCTGCAGAACAGCCCCCTTTCGGAGCTGAAGGCAAACTTCTGGGGCATGGGCCCATTGCCTCTCACGTACTCCCACACGGCCAGGAGCAGCAGTCTCACCTCGAAGGGGGTGAGGTGGGGGAAGGCCTCGTGCACGTTGGCCAGGACCGGAGGCAGGAGCTGGCCCTCCCCCATGCAGGACACCAGGAGGCAGGAGGCCTGGAGGTGCCACGGGTCGTCTGTGGACAACGTCTCCCGGGAGGCCTCCCAGTGGGCCAGCAGGGTGGCCAGGAGGCCTCGGAGCACGGCTGAGCAGTAGCAGAGGGCCGGGCGTCCGGCTGCCACCACCTGCAGCAGAGGGAAGAGCACCGGGTGGGCCTCGAAGCAACGCCGGATGTGGATGTCTCGCTCCACCGTGGTACGGGCGTGTTCTTCTGGGGGCCAGGAGAGCTCACCATTGGCCACATCCGGACAGACGTTCTCCACCAAGGTGACAGCAATGACCTTGGCCGCCTCGGCGTTGATGGCCAGCGGCTCCCCCGGGTCGGATGGTGGTCGCGAGCTGTTGATCGAGCCGTCGAAGCCGGAAGAGCTGCAACACTGCACTACCACAGTCAGCAGAGTTTGCACGTTCTACAGAGGGAAGAAGCACAATTACACGAAAATACACAATTTCAGGTATTGTTGAGATAATAGACACATGGAGGAAACGATCCTACACATTTCTGTACTTTTGCGGCAGGTGTAATCCACATTTTGCTTGCTGTGCTAAACCATAGTTTGTGTCACTCACCTGCATGACGCCCGATGGGTCAGGCAGCTGTGTTTCAGTGCGGACCTTCAGCCCCTTGCCAATCACACCAGCGTGGAACACGGACCACACGCTGCCAGAGAAGTTGACGACGGTCCCGAACCGACAGTTGATATCCAGCAGAGAGGCTCCGATGTCACGAGACACAGATGCAGAGGGCAAAGGAGCACCAGACATGTCCGCCATCTGCCCCCCAAACAGCCCAGTGTTGCCTTTGTGTAGGGCTCCCTCAACCAGCAGCTGGAGCACCGCTTTGAGGGTGAGCGGAGAATACGCTGCCAAGCGGGACAGGAGCACGACCGAACAGTTCACCGCCTCGCACGCCTGTCCCCCGTCTCTCCCCACCTTCCCACTTTCTACTCTCCTCCGCAGCCCCATAAAGAAATGAGTGACGGCGGCGCGGGAGAGCAAGAGCAGGTGCGCTGGGGAGGACGCGCGTGGGAGAGGGCTACAGGACAGGAGGCGCACAGTGGCATGAGATACAGCCGAGTCCCCGTGGAGAAGGAGTGGGCCAAAATCATGGAGGTGTCCTGAGACCGCCGAGCCCATCTGGATGGCCATGGAGGCCTGAACACCTGCTGCTGCTCCTCCTCGTCTCTCCCCATCCTGACTCTCGATGGCCGCGGCCAGGTTAAGTAACAGCTGCCTCAGCTGTCGGGGCCCCAGGGTGTGTGTATGGATCTGCGCTACACAGCGGGAAACGGCGGCAGGAATGAGTCCTGCCATGCAAGAGGAGAGCGTGGTGTGCAGCTGCCAGGCCAGAGCCAGCTCCTCCGGGTTGTGGGCCTGGGTGAGTAGCTGGCAGAGGGCCTCAGTGGCCACGCTGGGACCTCCATACACGGACAGCAGGCACAGCAACTGGTGCAGCCAGAGGTGCCGCTTCCTTTCCAGGCGCAGGGTCTGTGCGCAGAGCTCGCCGACGTGGGACTGCAGCTCCTCCAAGAAGGGGATGAGTCGCTTGGGTTGAGAGAGAGCAGGGTGATGTGGGTTGACTTCGGCCCCATCGGAGCGGTTGAAGACCAGTTTGTGGAGATGCAGAAGGAGCATCTGGAGGAGGCGATCGCAGCCTTCCCTGACACCTTCGTGGGGAGAGGGGGTGGGCCCGGAGATGATGACGGAGGCCGGGGTTGCCGTGTCGGCCAGAAAACGCAGGACCCGTGACCCTCCTGACGGGCTCTGGCTTATGAGGTGGACGGCCAGCCCCAGCATGTTATCCAGTTCCTCTCGGGGGAGGCCCTGCAGTAAGGCCTGCAGCTGGAGCAGAACAGGAGGGCGTAGGAGCTCTACCAGCTCTGCAGACACTGCGCCAAACAGGTTGGGGGACATTGCAGCCAGCTGCAGCAGGAATGGTACGGCCGCACGACGGAGTTGAGGAGAACCCTCCCAAGATGTTGAGGACGAAGTGGGAGATAGAGGACTTGACGGACTCAGGCTTTCCTGAAACATCCTGAGCAGCTCCTTCCGGATGCTGTCCGAGTGGTGCACTGCAAGGTGTCCAAGGATTCCCACCACTGAGCCAATCTTTGGCACTCTGCTGCCTTTATCCCCCACCATCACCATTAGCCCTTGCTCCTTGGCGCCATGAGAGCAGAAGTCCTTGAGTCCACATGCCAAGACTCGGCTGATGATAGTACCCGGGAAGGCGGAGCCAATGTGAGCCACGACCCAATCGAAATGCGGGGAGTGCTGAACCGAGGTGTCCAAGAGCGCATCCACACACGCGTCAGGGCACCAGGACAGCATGGCGGCCAAAGACTGGGAGTAGGCCTCCATGAGGGACCGGGTGGCAGCACAGGACATCCATAGCTGGAGCAGCTCGTTGAGACTGGATGAGTGGGGGGCCACCCTACGGCCGGCGTGCTTGCTGCTCAGCTGGCCCAACAGGTCCACAGCCCAAGTGGACACCAGAGGGGCCCAGGCTCGAGGGTTGAGGCAGATGAACTCTGACAGCACGCCATGAACCTCCTACAGACAAACAGAAATGACTCAAATCATTTCCTAGAGACAATAGCATTATCACTTCAAGGTACGGTACATGTTCTGCTAGCAGCTTGAATCCTTGCGTCATCACACCTGTATGATGTCCTCCAGGTTGGAGCTGACCCCGGAGCTGGCATCGCTCTCTGTCTCCAGGTTGTGCAGGAAGGCAGAGACGTGCTCATCATACACTCCCCTCAAATGCTCCAGCACCGCCCCTCGACAGGCCGGGACCGAGCGCAGAAGGCGCACAGCGCAGCGGGCGTGTTCCCGCACACTGAGCTTCCGGCCCTGAACAGTGTCAATGCCACTGATGAAGGACTTGATCTCCTGGGAGAGTTCCTGGCCGCTGGAGGAGAAGCGTGAACATGATGGAAGCAAAGCGACATGTTAGGCATCCACATGCAGCCAGTGGTGGAGAAAAGGAATGAAACAGAGAGTTGCGTGCCTGAATGTGTGTGTGTGTGTGTGTGTGTGTGTGTGTGTGTGCTTATGGAAGGTTCAGTCAGACTTCACATGAAGATTCAAACATATTCAAACAGAGGGAGAAAGTAGTTGCAGTATTTCCTGACTTCTGATACAGAGGTATCAGAAGTCAAAAAAACAAATCTTGTAAAAAAACAAATCTTGTATAAAATAAAATCATGAAACATTTCCTCAAAAAACATGGCAAGCTTGGCTCCAAAGGACATTATTTAAAATCATAATGTTAAAACAAATATGTTTAAAAAAAGACAAAGCAACATTTTAAGGGTCCAACAACTTGTCAGATGTGTTTGTTTAAAAAAGAAACGATATAACGTTAGAAGATGAATAATCCATCAAAGGAAACGGTTACTCTATGGTTCTAAAGAACACTGTAGGATTATATATATATATATATATATATATATATACACACATGATGGGCACATGATGGGACATATATATGTCCCATCATGTCCCGTCATGTACTTCGCGGACTTGAGGGATGTTCTTGTTGTGTCAGACTTCCTCTCAGTGAACATTGGTTCATCACTCACCTCAGGGCAGTCTGCGCTGTGTGAGTGTGTGAGCTCTGCATCGCTTTCAGGGGACTCCCGTCCAACACCACGGACATCGTTTGGTCTTTTAACATTAGATCGTTACATCTAAATCCTCCTCGCGGCTGTGGGGCTTCGACGGGACCAGTTGTGATAGTTTTTTGTTAATTTCTCTGTCCAATTCCAGGACAGAAACACACCGAAAAGGGCGCTACTGGCCGGATGTTGAGACTTCTTCGTTGGTAGTAAAGGAAACTCAACACTGACCGCTGACGTCACCAGCGACTCCTAGCGGTTCAATGTTGACAATGTTTACTCTTCAATTTATCACTTTGGCAACTAATCTAAAGAATAGATGAATACATATATATTCTAATTTCACTGTTAACAAGTTGGTGTCCCCTTTCTGTCTGAATACTGTAAATAAAACAAAAAAAATAGAATAGCCAAATACGGATTTATTACTTTAATCTAAAAACGTAAGGGGATATGTTTTAAAGAGGTCGATTCAAATGTATGGTTATTTTGGGGGATGTGGCATTAGGTATGGTTAAATTGCATTGTATTGTACTTGATATATCGCACACCCTCAATAATATAAATAGAGTGGACAAAATAATGAAAACACCTGTAAGCAGTTTGTGCTTCCATTAACACCTTTCTTGCACCGCTTAAACACAAACTACAACAACTACCAACAAATTATTAATAATATTATTATTATTGATGATATTATTTTAATAACCTGTCCTTACTGAAGCCATCCGAGTCATTTTCTACTTTTAGAGGAGGCTTTTATTCTGAAGGTCACGTGCTCCAGATAAACAAAGCAACAATCAGCTGATCGCGGAACGCTTACTTTTGCCTTCGGTTTCTCTGGTTTAGTCTCTAATATTAAAACGAGCCGTGGACATCGTCTTCACAGGTAGGTGGAACTCAAACGGTATCAGTTCATCCGCAGACGTGTTTTTAGTGACGCTGCAGCGTTTTATAACCGATAACGTGACGTTTTCGACACAGCTGCTCGGGCCTTTGGGTGACGTAACCACAGACAAGCTAATCTTTCGCCGCTTTTTGCTGAAACTTGATCGTAACCGACTGACACACATTGTCTACTACAGTACAGCAAGCTGGTATTTTAAATTGTCAAAACAAAGCTTCATTGGCGTATGTATCTTAGATTACGGGTTCGCAATCTCTGTTTTCTTATAAACAACGACAGAATAGCATTTATTGAACTAGACAAACGTTATTTAATTCCAACAGTTCTCCAATAAAACCTACAAACTGATCAACTGTCAACTTCACCACAAGCTACAGCATCAAAATGATCATTAAATTTAATACAAAACTCCCTAAAATGGTACCTAACGGTTATTATGTTGATAAACGTCGATATATATAATGCTGGGCATTTGTTTGATATACTGTATTTGTTTAGGTATTCCTATTAAACTGGTAACTAGAGTGAATATTTACCCAAATGAGCCGTAATGGTCACACAGAATTTGGGCACTTTATAAGCTTTCTGTTTCTTTTACTATTTTCCAAATCGTATGTTTTGTGTTTATTTCTTATCCATGATTTGCTCCTGCAGGTGCTGAAGGTTAAGCGGCTCATAACCAGACAAAAGAAACACAGACATGGCCCCAACTCTGGTTAGACAACACTACCAGTACTTAATCAGATTAAATATATATATTGCAGTATGTAGCATTTGATTGATTTTAAACATTTTCAAGTCAAGTAAAAAATAAATACTGTTTAGCCCAATAAATCCAATGTGGACTTAGTTTAACCCAGAGAGTCCTTTCGGGCAGACTGTTCTGCACTTGTTGCCAAACATTTTTGTAAAGTCAAACATGTTTTGTTCTAATCCAAGTATGATGAGAAACTAGAGCCTGGGGACCTGATTGAGATCTCCAGAGGAGCCTATCATCACTGGGCCGTGTATGTAGGCGACGGCTTTATAGTCCACTTGGCACCACCATGTGAGTCTCACACACACACTTGTATGGACTGGGCTAATCTATCTCATAATATCACATCATTTCTTTGCTTCAACTCCAAACAAAAATCCTGTTGCGATATTTAGTGCATAAGTAATGTCTGTTTGTCCCCCTTTCTGCCCGTCCTTTCTATAAATAGCAGAGGTCCCGGGTGCGGGTGCCAACCGCTTGATGTCCGTTGTAGCTGACAAGGCCGTGGTGAGTAAAGATGAGCTGTGGTCAGTGGTGGGAGACAGCGAGTGGAAAATCAACAACTCCCTGGACAAGGAGTACGAACCCCGCCGGCCTGACGACATTGTGAGGGAGGCCTGTGCGATGGTGGGACACGTGCTGCCGTACTGCGTCTTCAGTCAGAACTGTGAGCACGTGGCAAACGAGCTGCGCTACGGAAAGGCCGAGTCCCGTCAGGTCAGTGGGTGTGTGTGTGTGTGTGTGTGGGGGGGGCGAGTATTATGTTGCACAAAAAAATTGAAGGGTATTTAAAATGGCTGCACTGGTAGCGGTGTGAAGACACAACAAATAGGAAGCAGGCAAGGCACCGTTTACCATCCATTCCTATGGAAACCTGTTTCCATGGAGGTGTCTACATTTCTACTGTAAATTACATTATGATGGAAATGGATTTTAGGTGTTTTTAAAGAAAATCTTAATATGTGACTACCGCAGTTGTGGACGATTCTAGTTGTAAACGTGAAGAAGGCTCAGCTCACGGACTGACGGGTGTCCGTTTCCCTCCGCAGGTGCATAAGGCCGGACAAGCGGTCTTGTTGGCCGGTGCTGCGACAGCGATGCTTCTGGGTGTCGCGTATCTGTTCAGCGGCAGCAAAAAAGAAAACAAGAACAACCAGTGATGGAAGTCGCCGGTCGCCTGTTCAGCAACAGTCTAACTTTTACTCATTAAGAACACTATCAGAAAACGCAGCCTCTTTTTAATCTGTTACTTAGACGGTGTAATCTGCATCTTGCTTTTTTACCTGCATGTGACCCTCAAGCCTTCTTTGGTTTGATCGACAATACAAAGCTGGTTGGTTGAAGATCAAAGCTCTGTATTTATCAGACATCTTTCATTTGCACATACTGCACATATGAGCACAACGAACACATTTGGATTAATAAAGCGGCCAAGAGGAGATGTGTTCAAATGTTATAATTTGAACTGAAGATTTTGAGAATTAATTGATATTCTCGGTATTGTGAAGGTTGTGATGGGTTGAGGGCAGCTCCTTTCTACCCAAAAAACTACAGATGAAGAAATATTATAACCTACTTGAGTCAAACCTATTGACAAGGCTATTTATACATATTCAAAATAATATAATGTATTAATATTGTGGCGTTAATAAAGGAAAGCTCTGTAACTCACTTCAGTTTGGTGTTTGGTGTAAAAGTAGAAAATGGCAAAATACGGCTTGATAAAGCTTTTATATCACACTTGCTGGTATTCTATTGACCTATGCGAATGCTCTAAATTGACGCACTTCATCATTTAATTATTATCCGCCACCATATAAAACAAACAATTTCGCATTGAAACATATTTTAAATACAAAGTAGCATTCTTCAAGAAAAATTATAATGACTAATAAAATAAAAAACGTTCTGCTATAAAGACTGTACACACTAGCAGTATATTCTATATCAAAAATATAGTAAAAAAAAACTTTCCCAGTTGTGCTGCCAAAAAAAGACAGAGAAAAAACAAAAACTAAATCTATTCTGCAGCACTTACAGTAATAGGCTATAATGCGCTTTCCTCCTCATGCGTTCTACTTTTCTTTTGATGGCTTATTTAAATGCACCAAAAATATACCTCCGTTTATTATTCACAGAGATAAACTGCCTTTAATCTCCATCGTGTACAGAGCAACTTGATGCTCAGAGACATTGTTCAGCCGCCCCTGAGGTGGACCTCAAACTTTATAATGCACTGAAACTCCACTTTGCTTGCTGAGGAAACGGCACAAACATCAAGATTCTGATCAGCTTCTCCACTTGGCCAGAGAGACCCTTTACCTCTCTTGGCATTGCCCTTAGAACTCCTACAGCTTCATAGCCACTAACTAGTGGTGCTGACTGGACACTTTGATCGGAACAGAATTAGAATCTCCCCGTCAATTTCAAAGGATGGTTCAATGGCATCATCCGAGTTTCTCCAAATCCAGTTGGTTTAAACCTTTCCCTAAACTGCAAATGCAAGCAGTCTATCAACTTCCCCAAATGCCCTTCGATTTCATTGCTAATGTGCGGTGATTCTTAACAAAATGCCATAAAACAGACCTCAGCTGAGGCCCTGATGGTCCAGTTGCTACTTCCTCAACCTGCACTACGTCTGCACTAGATTTCTGAGTTTATTGAATGCCTTATTTTACTAAATAACCTAATGAGAAGTGCATGCAATGCATTTTATTCTGAAATGAATGTTTCATATGTACTTAGGTAATCGGTTCAGGTTTTGTGGAGCTCTACTAGGCCAAAATCATCTGTTCTGGATTTCCGAGCCATGAAGTAATGTACAAGTTAATTAAGTGTTTCTGGCCACTTCAGCCAATCAAATGACAGCATCTTGTCTGGCCGGCTTGAGGACGCATTGAAACACTTGGACATCTATTTTTTTACTCTTCTGGGCGATGAACATAGTATATAAATAATACGAATGAGTTTGCAAATATATCCCTTTCATGCATAAAGGTCACTACAGTGGTCAGATATTCAAATGTTGTTTTCTTGTATCTGCATGGGTTTTGATGGCATAGTTGAGTGGACGCTATTGCATCGTTGCATACACTGCCGCCCAGTGGCAAGCAGTTGTAAGTGCAAGATACATTTCTCAAAACATGAGAGAAACGTCCAGTCACTCATCAATATCTTGCCAATCCTTCTACGGAAAGAGACCCTTGCAGGTATGGAAATGTTGTGGACATTGAATAACAACTAAGGTAATCACATAATTCATAAATTATCCAGGTCTTGAATTTATATTGTGAGGAAATTATGATTAATCATCTGTCCACTACATTGGACATCATGCATTGCTGGCTATATTTCAACTACCATTCATACAATTGCTGCTACTGTTGTTTCATATACTGTTATTGTTGAAAATGTTTCATCTCCAGTAATGTTTTTGGCTCTAAATCACGTTATATATGTTAGTAGGGTGTAATTTGAAGGTTTTGAATATCTTTATCTTTAGCAGGAGCAGAGCGTGATAGAAAGGCCGACAAGGTAGTGGAGGAAATACCACCCAAGTCAAGTGAGGATGATGTTAGTGGCAGTGATGGTGAATGGCTGCCAGAAAAAATAGAAAATTATACCACAAGTGACAGCGGAGGTGAGGATGCAAATGCTCAGGGAATCGAGGCTGAAGAAGCTGAGGATGAAGATGAAGATGAGGGAGTCGAGGCTGAAGAAGCTGAGGATGAAGATGAAGATGAGAGAATCAAGGCTGAGGAGGCTGAGGATGAAGATGAAGATGAGAGAGTCAAGGCTGAGGAGGCTGAGGATGAAGATGAAGATGATGCTGAGGGAGTTGAGGCTGAAGAAGCTGAGGATGTTACACCTAACAGAGCTCAGGGGGGAAACAGCTGAAAACGCATGCAGAAATATCTTAAAGCCCAAAAGCAACCAGTTTGAGGGAGACTTGCCTCCTGTTGTTGGAGAGTGGAGAGTGAAAGTGAAATTTGAGGGACCAGAACCAAATAGATTTCTTAATCTGTTTCCCAAAGAGCTGATCAATGAATAGTGCATAATACAAACGTGCATGCACTCCAAAAAGGAAAAGAAAATCTTGCTTTGACGTCAGAGGAAATGAAAACCTTCCTGGGGATGAATATGGACACGTCCTACATCAGATGCTCAAGATAATAAAGGTACTGGTCATCAGAGGAAGGGCTTTGTGTTGAATGGATAGCAGGTGCAATGCCAGTTAGGAGATTTGAGCAGATTCTGAGCTACATGTGTGGGTGAGAGCAGGATCCTCTACATGTACAGGTTTGAAGTCTATCCGGGTTCAGGGAGTGGCTGCGGCCGTAGCCATGCGCCTCTGTGACGCCGTACAGGAAAAGAATCACACGGTCTTTTTTTGTCAATTTCTTCACTATCATTCCTTTCCTACCATTCCATTTTCTGTGAAGCTGTACAATGAGCATATGTGATGAGAAGATCTCATTGATCAATGAGTCAAAATGTATCCCCACAGACGCAAAAACCAGTGGAGAATTCTTCCACTTCTTGGACGTCCCCACTGTGAATGCCTGGCACCTCTACAAAATGTCTGGTCTGAAACGGAAGGATCGTCTGCTCTTCAAGGCATCTGCAGCCCATGCGTTGCTTAATGCAGAATCCATCAAGACACTCCGGAGGTGCGTGATGATGGACAAAGCGGCCTTGTTGGCCGTTGTTAGATAGTAGTTATTACATTAGCATGTTAGATGAAATGATTGCAATATAATCAAATAACAGTTTATTACATTACATGTCCTTTAGCTGCTGCTTAATGCAGTATCCATCAAGACACGCGGAAGAGGAAGACCAAGCATCACCCCACCTCCTTCGAAGTGCAGAGTAACGTCCCCCCTCCTACGCCCCCCCTCCCCCCAAACTCAGAAGAGCAAGAAACAAGAAGTGCAAAATCATCAAATAAGCCAATTTACAATTTGCTATAGATAAGAGGCGTTACAAGTGCTACAATTTGTTAGTCTTTTAGTGGAGGTAGAGTCTGAAGAGGTGTGTCTTTAGTTTGCGGTGGAAGATGTGAAGGCTCTCTGCGGTCCTGGTGTCTTCAGAGAGCTCGTTCACCATTTCGGAGCAAGGACAGCAAAGAGTCGTGATCTAGTCGAGTGTTTTGCTCTCAGTGAGGGAGGGACGAGCAGTTTTGCAGATGCAGAGCGGAGAGTGCGGGTCGGGATGTAGGGTTTGACCATGTCCTGGATGTAAGCTGGACCCGATCCATTCACAGCATGGTACGTGAGCACCAATGTTTTGAACTGGATGCGGGCGGCCACCGGTAGCCAGTGAAGAGAGCGGAGGAGTGGAGTAGTGTGGGAGAATTTCGGAAGGTTAAATGTTAAAATGCTAATTGCCGTCCTTTATGGATTTCTCCCAATTTTCTCCCCAAACAGGGTTTTTTGAACCAAATGAACTGTGTTAAACCTTATGATGAAGTGGGATGAATCGATCATTTATGACGTGTTGTAATTAAAGTGTACTAGTTATAAGATGAAGACAAACGATGCATGTTATGTTATATTCACTCATTGAGGCATAAAGCCAAATGTATGGGCAAAGCAGGACCCAGACGCAGAGTTTTGGAAAACAAAAGGACTTTAATCGTCAAAATCAGAGAAAAAACGCAGGCGGGGACAAGGAACCACAAGCATGCAAACACTACATTCAACAACCAACAATGACGCAACAAGGCACAAATACACTGGGACGGTGCAGGTGATTGGACACAGGTGGAAACAATCATGGACCCGGCAGACAATCACAGGGGATGACAGGACAAGGCAGGAAGTGAAGTTAACCCAGGAGCACCAGAGGCATGAAGCTACAAAATAAAACAACACGTGAACCCAAACCGTGACAGGAAAGATTAGACAGAGGTGTCTCAGGTTACAGCAGCAGATTCACACCTGGATGAAAAGGGGACAATCCAGGAGGAGGCACGTTTGAAGGAGAAGCCAATGGTATTCAAATGCCCCCATTGATCTTATGTGAATGCTCTAAATTGCACACTTCATCATCTCATTATTACCTTAAATCTAAAAACGTTCAGGGATAAGTTTCAAAGAGGTTCATGGTTTTGTTAGAGGATGTAGCTTGAGGTGTGGTTGGATTGCATTGTATTGTACGAGTCAGGTTTTACTTGCTATATCGCACACCCTCAATTATATAAATAGACGGCTCCAGATGAACAAAGCAACACGAGCCCTGGACCTCGTCTTCACAGGTAGGTGTTTTTAGTGACGCTGCAGCTTTTTATAAACGAAAAGGTGACGTTTTTGACACAAACCGGCGACTCCTCGGACCTTTGGGTAACGTAACCACAGACAAGCTAATCTTTCGGCGCTTTTTGCTGAAACTTGATCGTAAGCGCGTGACACACATGACATGACGTGTCTACAGAACAGCAAGTTGTAATTTTAAATTATTAAAGAAACACTTCAATTACTTATGTATCTAAAATGTCTAAGTTACTGATTCACAATCTCAGTTTTTTTATAAACAAGACAGAATTTTATTCCAACAGTTCTGCAATAAAACCTAGAAACAGACAGAAACTGTCAACTTCACCACATCGGCTTCAAAAATGATCGTAAAATGTTCTCTCTAAAATGGACCAAATAATTATAATGTTCATGGCGGCCAGATATTTAATGCAGGCCAGTTGTTTAATATTGTATCCTTTTAGGTTTAGGCATACCTAGAAAACTGGTTTTCTTAGCTGGTTTTATTTAGCTGTTTTGGCCTATTTCATCAGATACATGTCATTATTCAAATTGGGTAGCATGTGTGCAAGGAATTGCTGTATGTAGCATTTCATTGATTTTAAACATTTTCAAGTCAAGTATCTGCACTTAGTTTAACCCAGAGAGTCCTTTCAGGTAGAAAGTTCTGCAGTGGTTTCCAAACATTCTCTTGTAAAGTCAAACATGTTTTGTTCTAATCCAAGTATGATGAGAAACCAGAACTTGGGGACCTGATTGAGATCTTCAGAGGCACCTATCAGCACTGGGCCGTGTATGTAGGCGAAGGCTTTGTAGTCCATTTGTCACCACCCTGTGAGTCACACACTGACACTTCAACTCCAAACAAAAATCCTGTTGCGATATTTAGTGCATAAGTAATGTCTGTTTGTCCCCCTTTCTTCCCCTCTTTTCTATAAATAGCAGAGGTCGCGGGTGCGGGTGCCAACCGCTTTATGTCCGTTGTAGCTGACAAGGCCATGGTGAGTAAAGATGAGCTGTGGTCAGTGGTGGGAGACAGCGAGTGGAACATCAACAACTCCCTGGACAAGAAGTACGAACCCCGCCGGCCTGACGACATTGTGAGGGAGGCCTGTGCGATGGTGGGACACGTGCTGCCGTACTGCGTCTTCAGTCAGAACTGTGAGCACTTGGTTAATGAGCTGCGCTACGGAAAGGCTGAGTCCCGGCAGGTCAGTGGGTCTGTGTGTGGGGAGGGGGGGAGCAGAGTATTATGTTGCACAAAGAAATAGAAGGGCATTAAAGTATTAGTATCTATAAGATGGTTGCACTGGTAGGGCTGTGAAGACACAACAAATAAAGGTTTAACGATAATTTTAATAATAATAATTTTTAATTGTAAAAATAAGAACATCATCAGCCCCTCTAGGAAGCAGGCAAGGTACCGGTTACAATGGATTTCTATGGAAACCTGTTTCCATGGAGATGGAATGATCTACATTTCTGCTGTACATTACATTATGATAGAAAATCGGTGTTCGTTTCCTTCCGCAGGTGCGTAAGGCCGGACTCATGGTCTTGTTGGGCGGTGTGGCGGCAGCGGTGCTTCTGGGAGGCGCCGCGTATCTGTCCGGTGGCAGCAAAAAAGAAAACAAGAACAACCAGTGATGGAAGTCGCCGGTCGCCGTTCAGCGACTTGATGAGCGGATCCCCGTCAAAGCCTAACTTTTACTCATTAAGAACACTATCAGAAAACGCGACCTCATTTTCACCTGTTTATTAGACGGTGTAATCTGCATCTTGCCTCTTTACCTGCATGTGACCCTCAAGCCTTCTTTGGTTTGATCGACAGTACGGCAGCAGTAACCATGTACAGTATAAACTGCAATCAATAAATATAATAACGCAAAACGTCAAAAAATAGATATAGGTGAAGAACGAAAAAATATTTTGAATTCAAAAAGTTAAAGATCTGAGTCAAAACTATATTCAACCTAAAAATACTTTTGTCTACTTTTTTTTAGTTTGAATATATTGTTGTATTTTCCCTTGTCAAGGAAAAACCTTTAAGTTTGTTTTTTCAAATGATCAAAACTTTTGACCTGGGTTTGACTGCAAATAAATTGAAGTGCGTACCGTCGTTTGGCCTGGGAAGCTAAAGCTAGGCTAAAAAAATCGTGCTAAAACACAAAAGCCATGGCCAACAGAAGCAAGAGCAAGCCGTTCACGCTGATGGTGACCCATGGTTCAGCGGACATGATGGTGGGAGAGTTTCCAGGCTTCAGAAGACTCAGACCCAGTTGCAGAAGAGGCGGGAGAAAGAGTGCTGAGGGCCCAAGTGGCGCCAAGGAAAAAGAGCGGGCCAGTGGAGATGGTGTGTTGGCGGTGCGGAGAAAAGGGCCACAGGACGGATGACTCCACAGAGAAAGTTTGGTGTAGTTTTTGCAAAAGCAGGGGACACACAGACGAGGCGTGCACAAAGACACCATCTACGGACTCATTGCCGTGGCATCTTGTCACAAAGACTGATGTGAAGAAGCACAGGGAGGCTGTCAGCAGTCTCGTTCACTTGACAACCCCTACACGTCCTGTCACATGTTTCGTGGTGAGCAAGTTATCACAGCCTTTGGCCGACCCTACAGATGAACATGTAAACAGGTTTTACGTTATCTCAGGGGTACTGCAGACAAACATCTCTGTCTCAGAAAGAGCAGGGAAAGTCCAGGCATACGAGCATATAGTGACGCAGACTGGGCTGCGGACGCTAGTGACAGACGCAGTACCACCGGATATTGTGTGGGTATGCGTAAAGACAGTTCCTCAGTCTCTTGGAAAGCCAAGAAGAAACCCGCCGCAGCACTATCCACATGCGAGGCCGAGTACATGGCTCCAGCTCTAACAACACAGGAGTGTATTCATTTGGAGCAACTACTGGGAGAAATAGATGCATATGTGTAAGAAAACGGATGTTCATGAGGATAACCAGGGGACAGTTGTTAGGAACCCTGTGTGTAGACAAAGACTTGCATGTAGACATTAAATAAGTCTAGGTCATCAGGTCTACCATAGGGTGACCCACAGCATTGGTGTGTAAAATGTTGACATTTGACTATGTCATGTTTTTGTTGTGTTTTGTTTATTTGGTTACGTAAAAGTTGTACAGTATACATGTCATTCATAAGTGGGAGTGTTGAGAGCGGATACGTGTAACTGTATTTGTTCAGGAGGAGGCGCAGTTGCGTCTCATATGGCATAGAGTCACGTGTGACTGATGACACCACTGCCGTGTAAGGGGGATCCTCACCCTCTCTCTCTGTACCCGACTCTCACTGAGAGCAGCATGCAACAGAAGACTGCAGCCCAGAGCAGTGTGCTACAAACCTACATCCACCAGCTCGGTGGGGTCTTCTGACACGATCTCCAGCTTCGAAAGGAGACTTTTGACAGCATCTTGTCTCGCAGGCTTGAGGACGCATTGAAACACTTGGTAATCAATTTTTTTACTCTTCTGGGCGAGGAACATAGAATAGAAAGTTATAGTTTGCAAATTTGCAAATTATATAAGCAATTCAAACAAAAAAAAATATTGGTGTGGACAATCGGGTCTTTCACAAACTTTGGTCGTGAAGTGCCTCAGTGGGCCGGATGGGTTTTGCTGTGCACACAAACAGGGGGGTCAAAAGCAACAATCAGCTGAACGCTTTCTTCTGCTTTCAGTTTCTCTGGTTTAGTCTCCAACATTACAACGAGCCGTGGACATCGTCTTTACAGGTAGGTGGAACTCAAGCAGTATAATTTCATTTTTTCGTTTTTAGTGCAGCATTTAGGGTGACGTAAACACAGACAAGATAATCCTTCGTGAAAACTCGATTGGAACCGATCGACACACATTGTCTACAGGACAGGAAGTGGTGATTATAAATGATAAAAACACTTCACTGGCTTATATATCTAAAATGTCTGTTACGGGTTCACAATCTCAGTTTTCTTATAAATAAGACAGAATAGCACTTATTGAACTAGACAAACGTTATTTTCTTCCAACAGTTCTGCAATAAAACCTAGAAACAGACTGATACTGTCAACTTCACCACAAACTACAGCCTCAAAAATCATCATGTACCTGGTGGTTTGATATATAATGCAGGGCATTTGTTTGATACTGTGTTGTTTCAGGTTTAAGTACACATAGTAAACTGGTAACTTGAGTAAATATATATTTCTCAGATTAGTTGTATTGGTCACACACATAATCAGGGCACATTTATAAGCGTTACGCTTTTCCACATCTTATGTTTTGTGCTAATTTCTTATCTATGATTTGCTCCTGCAGGTGCTGAAGGTTAAGCGGGTCATAACGAGACAAAAGAAACGCGGACATGGCCTCGACACTGGTTAGACAACACTACTAGTAGTACTTAATCAGATTATAGATATTTATTTAGCTGTTTTTGTGTTCTATTTCATCGGCCACATGTCATTGTTCAAATTAAAAATGGGAAAAAGGGATTGGTGTATGTAGCATTTCATTGAATTCAAACATTTTCAAGTCATGAAAAAGGTCCGATCTGCACTTAGTTTAACCCAGAGAGTCCTTTCAGGTAGAAAGTTCTGCAGTGGTTTCCAAACATTCTCTTGTAAAGTCAAACATGTTTTGTTCTAATCCAAGTATGATGAGAAACCAGAACTTGGGGACCTGATTGAGATCTTCAGAGGCACCTATCAGCACTGGGCCGTGTATGTAGGCGAAGGCTTTGTAGTCCACTTGTCACCACCCTGTGAGTCACACACTGACACACTTCAACTACAAACTAAAATCCTGTTGCAATATTTAGTGCATAAGTAATGTCTGTTTGTCCCCCTTTTTTCCCCTCTTTTCTATAAATAGCAGAGGTCGCGGGTGCGGGTGCCAACCGCTTTATGTCTGTTGTAGCTGACCAGGCCGTGGTGAGTAAAGATGAGCTTTGGTCAGTGGTGGGAGACAGCGAGTGGAACATCAACAACTCCCTGGACAAGAAGTACGAACCCCGCCGGCCTGACGACATTGTGAGGGAGGCCTGTGCGATGGTGGGACACGTGCTGCCGTACTGCGTCTTCAGTCAGAACTGTGAGCACTTTGCAAATGAGCTGCGCTACGGAAAGGCTGAGTGCCGGCAGGTCAGTGGGTCTGTGAGAATAGAAGTGCTTTAAAGTATTTAAAATGGCTGCACTGGTAGGGCTGTGAAGACACAACAAATAAATGATCATTTTAATTGAATCATTACGCAATTCATGAACCCCTCTATGAAGCAGGCATGGTACCGGTTACCCGTGTTGGGAGTAACGCGTTACAAAGTATCGCATTACTGTAATTCCACTACTTTTAGAGGTAATGACCATGTAACAGAGTATTTTTTTAAATAAATTACCGCAGCTACAATTACTGAATTTGAAATGAGTTTGTTACTCGCGTTACCCTCCTTTGTGACGTGAAGCGGAGGGCCGGCAAATAGTAAGTAAATAGCTGCCTGTCAGCACAAAATAGTTGTGGCCACCAAACGTTGTGTCACAGAATAGTCGCCGTACGTGCACGTAAACAGCATCGCGTCGCTCATGACGAAAGAGCGCAGGCCCGCGGATGCTGCAGGCGCCGCTCCACGCAAACAACCAGGGCTCCACTTTACACGGACTGCAGTGCAGCCGATAAACCGGCCAGAGCTGAATAGATTGATTGCTCGCTATGTTGAAGATGAGATGCATCCTGTCAACTGTTGAGTCAGTTGCCTTCAGGCAAATACCTGAAACAGTTATTTTGTTTTAAATTAAGTATTAAAAAGGACTTTTGTACTATTGCTTTATTTGAAGGCCTGTTGCCCTGTTGATATAAATAAATAGGTCTAAAAAATATGTTTATTGTGTTTGACTGTTCAGCACTATTTATATTCATTACATTTAAAAAGCAGACATAAAGGTCACTTAGAAGTTACTTGCCAGAGTAACTAATTACTTTTGATACACAGTAACTGGTAAGTAATTCAATTACCTTTAAAATAAGTAACTAGTAACTGTAACTAAATACTCATTTTCAGTAACTTGCCAACACTGCCGGTTACACTGGATTCCTATGGAAACCTGTTTCCATGGAGATGGAATTGTCCAAATTTCTGCTGTACATTACAATATGGTAGAAATGGAAATGAGGTGCTTAAAAAAAATCTTAACATGTGACTACTGCATTTCCCCCGGAACTGTGGAAGAATTCCAGGAGTTTCAAATGTGAAGGTGAAGTGACAGGTGTCCGTTTCCCTCCGCAGGTGCGGGAGGCCGGACTAATGGTCCTCGTGTCTGGTGTTGTTGTGGCAGTTGTGGGCGGCATCGTGGGCGGCATCATGTATTTTTTTCATAGCAGGAAAAAACAAAACAAGAACAACCAGTGATTGAAGTTGGCGGCCGCCTGTTCAGCGACTTGATGAGCGCATCACCGTCAAAGCCTAACTTACTCATTGAGAACCAAAACAGTAAAGGCAGCCTCATTTTCATCTGTCATTTAGACGGTGTAATCTGCAGCTTCTTTACATGCATCCAAATGATCAAATGACTACAGTACGAAAATACGATTTGTCATGTATTATTATCAAAACACCTTAAGTAAAGGGATGTTACTAGAAATTCGGCAGAGAAAAACGTTTTTTTACAGCGGTTTCCTGTATTATTACAATCAACACCTTCAATAAAGTGATATTGTTAAAAATCTGCAGAGAAAAATTCTTGTTTTACAGACTTGTCCTGTTATATTACGATCAAACATCTTCAAAATCACAAAAAGTTGTTATTTTACAGATTTTTCCTGTATTGATATAATTACCTTCACTGAAGAGATTTTGCAAATTCTTTTGCAGCTAAACACTGTTTTATTACAATCAAACACCTTTTTTAAAGGGATATTCTGCAGCTAAAATGTTTATCTTGTTTTACAAGAGAAGATATTATTTTCATTTCATTATTTACAAGATAAGATATTATTATGATCACACACATTCAATAAAGTGATATCGCTAGAAATTCTGCAGTAAAACATTTCACAGATTTGTTTGTAAAACACATTCTCATAAAATATAAGCTTTTCATATTACTGTGAAAAATACAAAATAAAATTATAAATCTACAAGATTTTCAATGTTTCAAATAAGGGTTGGAAACGTAATTACAACCACAGTACACACCACTATTGATTTTAAAACAATTTAAATGAATATATCTACATGTAAATTGACAATATCAACCGATTATTCACAAACAGTTCTTCAGAGCCCCCCAACAGGAATTGAAAAACGAAAAATGGCATTTCTCCATGTGTTACTATCACGATGAGGTCTTGAGGTCTTGAAACAGGTGGAGAAAGCAACACATTGTGCTGTTGAGCTGAGGGGGCGGTGGGGTCTGTTTTTTTTTTAGCTTTTGTTCTCCAATTTAGTATTATATGATTTTCCATATTCCCCAGACCCCAGGGGGCTCCATTTAATTCTGATAAATATATGAGAACAAACGTTACAAGTCAACAACTGACAGTGACAGGGATAAAAAGAGAAAAAGGACAGACTAAAATTCAAAATCCAAAAGTTACGTTAACTGTAGCCTCAGTTTTTTCCCACTACCATTATAGTTCATATCGGCCAATCCGTCTGCCTCCCCAAAGTTGTAACCCTAGCATAATGAGCATTTACCAGAAACAACAAAAAAATAAATAAGTTCTGTCCCCCTTGTTAATCATCATCACTCTAATGAAGTCTCACTCTATAAAGTCTTCAAACTGTAAAGTAAGATAATTAAGATCACGCGGCCCATGAAATGAATACTTTGTAAGAGGCTAAATTCAACTGCCATGTAGAACTGGAGACTTGTGCTTTAACATGGAGGTCAGAGTGTGTCTGTTTTGGCTGCTACCGTTTAGTTTGAGTTTCCAGCTCTGTTTCTCTTTCAGAAGCTGCTCTTTGCCAGAAGAAGCAGAAGACAGCGATGAGCTGTTGACACCCAGCTACCACAAAAAACACAAGAAACAGTGAGCTGCTGTTTCATTTCTCTAAACCTCTCAAACTGTGTCTGTGTGAGAATGTGGACACACTGAGACGTGTCTCACGCTGCTGCTCTGGCTGCATGTGTGCGTGTGCATGTGGTTGCACGTGTCCCGACGTGTGGTTTCCGTCTCAGTTTCACACTCGTCGTTAGAAGTTATTGGCCTATTAGGAGCTCAGATCTTTACCTTGCAGAAATTAGCTGGGGGCCTATTTTGCATTTTAAAAAACAACAACTTACAAGCGGAATTTCAGGTTCACAAAATGTAATAAAAGTATAAAAAGGTTTGTTCAACCCGGAAGTGTGGAAACTAAAGTTGGCTTCATAAAGCTAGCGTTAGCTCGTTAGCTAACTTAAGTAAATGTACATTACTGCTTATGTGACCATGTGGACCAAATGTTTGCCTCAGATTATGGTATATCAATGTTTTTTTTCGCCTAATGATTAGGAATTTGTTCTTGTGCAGATTAACAGTTATGGTTTATCCAGAGCTGCCAACCTTTCAAAAAACCTTGGAGTGGGGTTTTGTCGGGGGTCAACGGGGGGAGTGGGCGCTACGGGGGGATGTGTGGCGTGAGTGCTTGTGAAAACATGCACAAGCCAAACCGCGAGAGTTTATCAGACGTCTACTTTATGTGCTCTATTTTTTCTCACCGGCTACATTAAGTCCAGGGTTAACGTTAGTAGTTTAGGTAACGTCAAACTTCTTGGATGATTTTATCAACTCATTTTTGAATGTAATATTTAAGCATTTCTTGTTGTGCCAAGTAGTTTGCGGCATTTTAAGTTTATACAGATGTGTTCATGTGCTCTATTTTTCCCCCCCACTGGCTACAGGTGACAATACAAAACCCCAAGCCACTCTTCAGAACAGGCTTCCACCACAGCCATTGATCGGCATGTCACATCTTATGTGCGACCTTAGCTTGAGGCTGTTGGTGTGCAACACATGAAACTGATGTAAATACTAGTCACGTACTCTGAGCCCATCAATGTCCTCTCAACCATTACGACGTGCATCTCTGAGATCTTAGAATCATAGGTTTACACAGGGATTTGAAATGTTGCCGCTTAATTAAAAGGCCCGCTCGTCTGACAGTGTTGGCAGTTATGTCTTTACGCTTCTGTGTCCATTTAATAATCGTTAAAGTATATCTCAGATATTGATGCCCTCCTGTGGACCACTCACAAAATTCTTTGCATTTGGTCGCGGTGGCGGATGCCAACAGACTTTTAAATTAAAGAACAAACGTACATTATATATAACTTTATTTTTAAAACAGCTCACATGCTACATGATTTGGATTATCGGAACCAAACACAGATTAGTTCCTGACCCGAACACCTCACACCAGGACATCGGCTCCAGCGGTGATGGCTGCAGATCGAGTCGGTAGAGCTCTTTGCACGGTGAGCAACACCAAACCTAACAAAACCGTACCCAACTCAGACAGGAGATATTACACCACAGGTTGTGGGAAGAAATTCTGGGGTGGAATTTTCTTTCTAAACTTTAGCTGTTGGAGGTGATCCCACAGAGTTGATATGTTCTATTAAATAAAAAAGGCACAATTAGAAAAGCAACTTGTCAGAGGAACTCTTTCAACCCAACCACACCCATTCATGTGGAATATGCGACGAAGAGGCGACCGATGATGCGTTTATCTCACTTGCTCAGATGATTGAAGCGCTGTTAGGGAGATCCGCGTGATTAAATGTGTACCTTTTTAATTATGGATTTCAGAAATCCCCCCCCACCCACTTCTGGAACACACAGGAAAAAGGCATGGAAACAAATGAATTGATTTTCCCTTAAACTTATTTCCATCATGAGTCCATGTGGCACGTTACCAGATCTGAAACCAGTCAAATGTGTCACTTCAGCACAGTTGAGTAACAGTAAAACGCAGTGTTGACGGTGCAAAGTAACGCAACATATTTGTAATTCTGTGCCACGAAACCTTTTGTTAGGCCATAAAAATACACAAGAGCATGCGTGGATTGATTTGAAGTATTTTCTGTTTTGACGGCTGAACTAAAACATTCATATCCACTGTGTGTTTTTGCGCACGTGTGTGTGTGTGTGCTTGTACTGAAAAACAGAATAATACATGTTTGATTCTTAAATATTGTAGTATATATATATATATATATAATTTCTCAATAATAAAAAAAGGGTAATTTCTTCATGTCATTTGACAATATGGAGCATTTATATACATTTACTTTACAACTGCACAACTACGGTATGTATTCTAAAAAAAAAAAGACGCTGGGATCACCTCGCGCTGCAGGGATTGCTGCTTCGTGCCCCTTTTCCCCTTTACGGTCTGTCTGTTTCAGCGCTGCCATCCACAACAATGCATTCATAATGGACTGGATTGTTGCCTCTTCACCCAGCGCTCAGTTCCTGAATGAAGAAAAACAGCGAATCCCAGAGCTGAAAATCATCCACTGTAGAACACAAGAATGTTTTCTTCTGACTGTTCTTTCAGGGCCTTTTGTTTCTGGAATATCAAGCCTCCATCTGCTGCTCTGGGTCCTGTCTCTTTGGTCCATGTTCGTCTCTCTCCAAACCCATCAGATTCTTTCGTCGCATCCTTTTCAGTCCAGCTTGCGTGCGCCCAGTTTGAGAGGACCTTTGACCGCTTTGCGCTCGGCCCGTTTGGCCTCCAGCTCTTTCCTCCTCTCCTCCCGTTTCTTCTTGGAAAGCTCTGCCTTGCTGAGACCTGGTTGACAAAACAGTCTATTAGTTAACGGTCACCTCACGGGAATAACTGAGTGTTAGTGTGGATACACAAAAGGTTGGACAGAGATGTAAAAAGTAAACAGTGGAGGTTTATATTTCTGATGAGGGAATTACCCTGGTTCCCATCCACTGACTCCCAGCTCTCTTCAGCGCCCCAGTCTCCTGTTGCCTCTGCAGGCCAGCCATCCCCAGTCTGACAAGGGGAGAACACACACGTCACTATACGCAAATACTTCTAGATGACATTCTCCATTTCATCATGACTGCAGTGCAGTGAGCAAACTGCTGGCAGATTCCAGCTTCACATTCACTGTACAGACACGAGCGTGGATTTAAACCCTCTCAGATGAGAATTCACGAATGCAACCACCGCTACTTCAACGCGTCTAGCTCCTGCCGCTCTGCGTTCTGGCCTCTCTCTCCGTTCTCACCTCGGTGCCGCCGGTGTTCCTCTGGGAGACGCTGCCGAACAGATCGCTCTGACCGGCGCCCTTGGCGGCCGCGCTGCCGCCGCTGTCCCAGTTGTACTCGCTGGCCAACCGCACTCCTTCCGGGAGGGGGAGCGTCGCATTGGTCAACGTTGTGTCCGTGTCATCCTCCCCCCAGTCGTGGCCCCAGCCTTCCTCGCCCGCAGAGCTCTGGCCCTGGCCCTCCTTCTCGTTGGACCAGCTGTCGTCTGCGTCCCAGCCAGAGCTGCTCCAGTCGGCGGTCTGCTTCTTCCCCGCCGTGGAGGACGACGACGACCGGCCCACCTGGATAAAAAAAAAAAGGCAGACAGTTGAGACGGACCTCTACGTGAAATCCTACAGTCAGGTGCATCGGATCAGAAGATTTGACAGTGAAAGAACCAAATACCCTGTTGGGTAATCTACACCTGTGGCACCACTTTTATGGTTTTGAACTATAAAGAGGGCAAGGCACTAACACTGGACTATCAGAAAAC